TTTTTTGAATAAATCCTCATTGATATACTTTGTAATACTGCTGAAATTAGAATCAAGGTTCTTATGTGTGAAAGAAATTCCACTGGAACAAATATTAAACCCTGGGTAAGCGGTAGAATTTCTAAGCTTAGAAAGAATAGAAAAAAAAAAAAAACCAAAAAGAAAAGACATTTATATATATAAACTATATTGAAATTTAACAACAAAAAAAAGCACTGAAAAAATGAACTAAGCATACACTCAGGACATTATTTTTTTAAAGCAATAAAACAAATCAAAAGTGATAGATTCTCTTCCCTTGAGGTAAGGAAAAAGTGATAGAAAATAAGATAGACAAGCAATAATAAATAAACCAGAAAGTAAAAAGTCTTAGACTTGATAAATAGAATAGTTTTTTTGAGAAATGCCTGTAATCCTAGCATTCTGGGAGGCGGAGGTGGGTGGATTGCTCAAGGTCAGGAGTTCGAAACCAGCTTGAGCAAGAGCAAGATCCTGTCTCTAGTATAAATAGAAAGAAATTAATTGGCCAACTAATATATATAGAAAAAATTAGCTGGGCCTGGTGGTGCACGCCTGTAGTCCCAGCTACTTAGGAGGCTGAGGCAGCAGGATTGCTTGAGCCCAGGAGTTTGAGGTTGCTGTGAGCTAGGCTGGTGCCAGGGCACTCACTCTAGCCTGGGCAACAAAGCGAGACTCTGTCTCAAAAAAAAAAAAATAATAATTTTAGGGTAATGCTATTAGAGTGAATGTTTTTAGGGGGCTGCCCAACATCTATTGTTCTTCATAATAGGTTCCCAGGTTCTTTGGGGAATTATCTTTCTTCTATTGTGGGTTGTTCTGGTGGAAGAGTTATTCCAGGCACACGATTTCTAAAATGGAGGTTGAGAAATTCATACTTCGCCTCTCTCCATTCCCTTTTGTTCAGTCTCTCTCTCTCTGCCTGGATTTTGAGTCTTAAGTAACAGAAGAAACAGCTGGGAATCATTTATCACGGCAGCAGCACCCTGGTCAGACTGTTGTGAGAGAGCTTCCTGTGACTCCTTCTTGACCATCTTTGAGTATCTTTAGTTCTTAAACCTAGTTCCTTAGTCCCTGTCAATACTGTGAACATCCTATTGTCTTCCAAATTAGTCTTTCTTTTACTAAAATTAGCTAGATTTGCATTGGTGGCCTGTCATCTAAAACCTTAAGTGATAAAACCATGTGCAGCTTATCAAATGAATCTGAAGGTCTAGATAAAAATTTTAAGAAAAATAAAATTAATCAGAATTTACTTGGGAAGAGTAGAAAACTTAAATAAATTAATAGCAGAGAAGAAATAGAAATGGTAAAGATTTTAACCACTCAAAGACACCAACTACGTTTTACCAACTACGTAAGATCATTTCTCTGTCATTTAAACTTTTCCAGAACACAGTAAAAGCTGGAAAGCTCTCCAACTTACTAGCAATACTCTAATACTCTTATCCAAAACTGGGTAAGATGAGCCTCAGAAAAAAATTTATAAATTAGTCTTATTAATATACCTACAAGGGTTCTAAATAAATATTAGGAAACCATATATATCAGTATATATTAAAACTAACATACCATGACCAAGTGGAGATTATTTTAGAAATATAGAGATGCTCAATATTAGGATATCTATTAATGTAATTCAATATATCAAAAACTTTAATTGATTAATAGATTAAATAAAAAACCTATGATTATTAGATAAGGAAAAGGTGTTTGATATGCTTAACACTTATTCTTAATTTTTAAAAAATGAATAAGCCAGGAAGAGAACAAATATCATTAACCTAATAAAGGGTAGAATACAATGGTAAACACCATATATATGGTAAAACACTAAAGGCAAACAAACCTGTTGGGGTCTGGACCAAAACCAAGAATGCTATATTTCAATATTGTTCTAAAGACTCCAGGCAATGCAATACACAAGAAAAAATCATAAATATTGGAGTGAAACAGAAAATGTTGCCATTATTTGCACATGAAATGATTGTCTAATTAGATAAGAAAATTAACTGAAAAATCATTAAATCTAAAGTCAAAGTTTATTAAGGTGGCTAGATACAAAATCAACGTAAGAAAATGACTTTAAGCAAAGTTCCTCAAATACTTTTGAACTGATGCCTCTCCCATGTGCACACATCAATAAACTGTTTGATTTCAGGTCTTGCTCTTAAGCTTTCTTAGGTAGGATCAGAACAGTACTCAATCTAGGGCAATTCTTTCATACTATTAGGGCAAGATCCTTCTGTATACTCCACCCAATGTCCCAGGAATGCTAAGTTTTCTAGTTGAGTAGTGAGAAAAAGCTGTTTGAGCATGGGCAATGTTACCTCAAATTCTTTTCAGTGGTTCTTTCCCCAGCTTCTGGGAGTTTTTCATACATAGGTGCTGATGAATACTCAGAATGTTACTTTTTGTGCTAGCTAGAAACTTTGAGTTTCTCAGTTAATTTTTGTAATTTTAGTAACATATTAACCTGTTCATTTGAATAACTCTATATGATAAGACCTGGACAAGTTCTATTTTCTTTTTAATTGTTTCTGCAAAAAAAGAGAAAAAAATCTCATCACAATTACATGGAAATACTTTATATATGAGCATTTGGTGTAGTTGGTAGGAATAATACAAGGAAGTGTGGCAGTAATAACAGGAGGCCTATAATAGGTTGATGAAAGTACAAAACAACCTCAGATGGAATTAATAGGAATTGATAGTTCTGGATAACAGACAGTAAAACCAAGGCTGGGGTGGAGTTGGATATAGTGATGATAAGGAATGAGGAGCCAGCTCAATTGTTTGAGTCCAAATATTTGGAAACCAGGAGTATGATGCTATCCCGGGGAAAACAGGGAATTGGAAAGATAAACAAACTGGGAGGAGGAAGTTGGGGGGAGGGGAGAAAAGGAGGACTGAGGGCTAGGAGAGTCCAAGGTTCTGGTATGTTTTTTAATTAGCTGGAGAAGTTACTTCAGTTCTTTGAATGTCAGTTCTTTACTTCTAAAATAAAAGGGTTAGGTACCAGGTAATCCTGAAGGTCCCATAAAATTTCTATGGTTTTATCATACTGAGGGGAAGATAATAGACGGACACCAAATGGAGATAGAAACACTAAACTTAAATGTTTAAATGACACAAGTCACCAGCAAAATAGACCAGGGTAGTTCTGTCCTTGTATGATACATAGAATTTAATACATGTATCAAGTCTGAATCTAAAATACATTTATAAAAAATTTATTTTAGATATAGGACTGTTAGGTGCTCCCTCCAGAAACGTATACGTTAGCGTTGAAGACATCCTGTAATTCCTAATATTTCTAGAGCAAAGTTTACAGAGGTCTTTTAAAATCCCATTTATTAGTATTATACAATAACTCTTTGAAACAGTACCAATCTCCACTATCTTTGTTCGAGGAGTTTGAGGTTGCTGTGAGCTAGGCTGATGCCATGGCACTCACTCTAGCCTGGGCAACAAAGCGAGACTGTCTCAAAAAAAAAAATAATAAAAATTTTAGGGTAATGCTATTAGAATGAATGTTTTTAGGGAGCTGCCTAACATCTATTGTTCTTCATAATAGGTTCCCAGTTTCTTTGGGGAATTATCTTTCTTCTATTGTGAGTTGTTCTGGTGGAAGAGTTATTCTAGGCACATGAGTTCTAAAATGGAGGCTGAGAAATTCATACTTAGCCTCTCTCCATTCCCTTTTATTCAGTCTCTCTCTCTCTGCCTGGATTTTGAGTCTTAAGTAACAGAAGAAACAGCTGGGAATCATTTATCACGGCAGCAGCACCCTGGTCAGACTGTTGTGAGAGAGCTTCCTGTGACTCCTTCTTGACCATCTTCAGTATCTTTAGTTCTTAAGCCTAGTTCCTTAGTCCCTGTCAATACTGTGAGCATCCTATTATCTTCCAAATGAGTATTTCTTTTACTACAATTAGCTAGATTTGCATTGGTGTCCTGTCATCTAAAACCTTAGGTGATAAAACCATGTGCAGCTTATCAAATGAATCTGAAGGTCTAGATGAAAATTTTAAGGAAAATAAAATTAATCAGAATTTACTTGGGAAGAGTAGAAAACTTTTAAATAAATTAACAGCAAAGAAGACATAGAAATGGTAAAGATTTTAACCACTCAAAGACACCAACTACGTTTTACCAACTACATAAGATCATTTCTCTGTCATTTAAACTTTTCCAGAACACAGTAAAAGCTGGAAAGCTCTCCAACTTATTAGCAATACTCTAATACTCTTATCCAAAACTGGATAAGATGAGCCTCAGAAAGAAAGTTATAAATTAATCTTATTAATATACGTGCAAGGGTTCTAAATAAATATTAGGAAACCATATATATCAGTATATATTAAAACTAACATACCATGACCAAGTGGAGATTATTTCAGAAATATAGGGATGTTCAATATTAGGATATCTATTAATGTAATTCAATATATCAAAAACTTTAATTGATTAAATAATAGATTAAATAAAAAACCTACATAATTATTAGATAAGGAAAAGGTATTTGATATGTTTAACACCTATTCTTTTATTTATTTATTTTTTGTTTATTTTTATTATTTTCTTTTTTATTTTTTTAGAGACATCCAAGTTGTGTTATTTTTTAAATTTTTTTTGTTTATTTTTATTATTTTCTTTCTTATTTTATTTTATTTTTTTAGAGACAAACACCTATTCTTAATTTTTAAAAAATGAGTAAGCCAGGAAGAGAACAAATATCATTAACCTAATATAGGGTAGAATATAATGGTAATCACCATATATATGATAAAACACTAAAGGCAAACCTATTGGGGTCTGGACCAAAACCAAGAATGCTATATTTCAATATTGTTCTAAAGACTCCAGGCAATGCAATACACAAGAAAAAATTATAAATATTGGGGTGAAACAGAAAAAGTTGCCATTATTTGTACATGAAATGATTGTCTACTTAGATAAGAGAATTAACTGAAAAATCATTAAATCTAAAGTCAAAGTTTATTAAGGTGGCTAGATGCAAAATCAAAATAAGAAAATGACTTTAAGCAAGGTCCCTCAAATACTTTTGAACTGATGCCTCTCCCATGTGCACACATCAATAAAGTGTTTGATTTCAGATCTTGCTCTTAAGCTTTCCTAGGTAGGATCAGAACAGTACTCAATCTAGGGCAATTCTTCCACACTATTAGGGCAAGATCCTTCTGTATACTCCACCCAGTGTCCCAGGAATGGTAAGTTTTCTAGTTTGAGTAGTGAGAAAAAGCTGTTTGAGCATGGGCAATGTTACCTCAAATTCTTTTCAGTGGTTCTTTCCCCAGCTTCTGGGAGTTTTTTCACACATAGGTGCTGATGAATACTCAGAATGTTACTTTTTGTGCTAGAAATTGTGAGTTTGTCAGTTAATTTTTGTAATTTTAGTGACATGTTAACCTGTTCATTTGAATACCTCTGTATGATAAGACCTGGACAAGTTCTATTTTCTCTTTGTTTCTTTCTGCAAAAAAAAAAAAAAGAGAAAAATCTCATCACAATCACATGGAAATACTTTATATATGAGCATTTGGTTTAGCTGGTAGGAATTATACAAGGAAGTGTAGCAGTAACAACAGGAGGCCTATAATAGGTTGATGACAGTACAAAACAATCTCAGACGGAATTAATAGTTCTGGATAAAGACAGTACAACCAAGGCTGGTGTGGAGTTGGATATAGTGATGATAAGGAAGAGTCTGCTAAATTGTTTGAGTCCAAATATTTGGAAACCAGGAGTATGATGCTATCTCAGGGAAAACAGGGAATTGGAAAGGTAAACAAACTGGGAGGAGGAAGTTGGGGGGAGGGGAGAAAAGGAGGATTGAGGACTAGGAGAGTCCAAGGTTCTGGTATGTTTTTTAACTAGCTGGAGAAGTTACTTCACTTCTTTGAATGTCAGTTCTTTACTTATAAAATAAAAGGGTTAGGTACCAGGTAGTCCTGAAGGTCCCATAAAATTTCTATGGTTTTATCATACTGAGTGGAAGATAATAGAGGGACACCAATTGGAGATAAAAACACTAAACTTAAATGTTTAAATGACACAACTCACCAGCAAAATAGACCAGGGTAGTTATGAATAATTCTGTCCTTGTATGATACATAGAATTTAATACATGTATCAAGTCTGAATCTAAAATACATTTGTAAAAAATTTATTTTAGATATAGGACTGTTAGGGGCTCCCTCGAGAAACGTATACGTCAGAGTAGAAGACATCCTGTAATTCCTAATATTTCTAGAGCAAAGTTTACAGAGGTCTTTTAAAATCCCATTTATTAGTATTATACAATAACTCTTTGAAACAGTACCAATCTCCACTCTCTTTCAAAGAAGAGGCGGTTGACTATGTCAAATACCAAGGTAAAGTCTCAGAGGATTTGGGTGTAAAAGAGACAAACAAATTTAATAGATGAGAGGCCCCTACCTTCATTTGTGAGAGAAATTTTGGAGGCTGTGAGGGAAGCTGACGCCAGACATCAAGAGCTTAAGGAGAGGAGATAGGAGCTTCCAGCAAAGCATAGACGGGTGCACAGCCTGTTGGTGCTGAAACGTACCTGACAAATAAATATCTGGTACAAAAGATAAAAAGATGGTTTGGCTTGCTATTAGAGAACACATTTTCGTTTTAGAAAAATCATGGGGGCGCACACAACACACCCGTATTGCATGTCTTTCTTTAACGAGTGAAACCATACGAGAAAAGGGCAGGCACAGTTCAGCCCACAGTGGTGCGTTCTTCAAAAGGTCGGGAAGAAATAAGGAACTCGAAAGAACAGTGAGAAACCTTTCCGTTGGCTGTCATGGGTTCTGACGCCGCCAGATCCACCGTTGGGCAGAGAGCGGCTCAGAACTCCTCAGAAACGTGGCCGTACAGTTGCTGGAGTCGCCAACCAAGTGAGAAGCGAGGTTGGGGGCCACTTCCCAGCTTCAGAAGAAAGAGCGCCGAGGCAGTCCGCGTCGCCTACAGGAGCGGTTGCACCCTAAACAGAAAGCGGCGCCAGCCTCTGGGAGAGGGGGCGGACCCTTACGCCAGCTGTCTCCAAGGGCAATATAGCGGCAGCACTTCCGGTAGCGACAGGTTGTGAAAGACGCCGCTGTTGTACGTCACTTCCGCTGCCCAGAGCGAGACAGGTAGCTCGAACTGTCGTAAACTAGTGCTCACAGTTACATGATATTTATTGTTACTTTTCCGGGGCTTAAGACTGTTTTGGAAAAGTGACAGTGTCGCTAGTTCTCTCGGTGACTTCTTTTTTTTTTTTTTTTAAGCAAACCAGTTTATTCGAGTTTCTGGTCTAAAAAAAAACAAAACAAAAAACTCCTGTACGGTGGCCGAGGAGGTTCGAGGCGGAAGTACCCAAGTGGGTGTGTGCAAAAAGCCGGAGCCAGAGGTGCACGTGGCGCCGGTGAGTAGCCACAGCAGCGGGAGGCTGTGAAAATGCTGGACCCTGCACCCAGCTGCGGGAGGGAGGGAGGAAGGAGCGGAATGCGGCGTGAAGACCTTCTCGATGTCTGCTCGGGGAGGAGGTACTGACCCAGGGGCGGCCAGGCTGGTGCGTGTGTTTGGCCGGCCGGCGCTCACAGTGCCGTGGGGAAGTAACACTTTTCACTTTCCAGGTTCGTTACGGGCGGTTTGGCAGTGGGTGAAGAGGCCAGGCTGCTATTTTTGTCCATTTTTATGGTGTTCTGACCGAGTCTTCAAGGGGTTAGCGGTGTACTCCCGCGCCACAGTGATCTGAAGGCACGGACCGTTTTTTTCCCCAGGTGGGAGAGAGAATGTCTTTTCGAGGCGGAGGTCGTGGAGGCTTTAGTCGAGGTGGTGGAGGTGGAGGCTTCAACCGTGGCGGCGGCGGCACCAACAACCACTTCCGAGGTGGAGGCGGCGGCAATTTCCGAGGCGGCGGCGGCAGGGGAGGATTTGGACGAGGGGGTGGCCGCGGAGCCTTTAACAAAGGCCAAGACCAAGGACCTCCAGAACGTGTAGTCTGTATGTCGACTTCAAAGCTTAGCACACTTGGGGGAGTGGGGATGGGTTTTGGGTTTGTGTTATTGGCAAGTTTGACTGCAAATCAGGTCCTGAAGGATAGATCCAGCGGCTCTCCTAGAGAGGTTGCAGCTTGGTTGGGAAGACGAAAGTCTTTGTGGAGAATGCTGTAAACTGGCTTATAATCTTATGGTAGCACGTAGAGGGGCGATCAAGGAAGCCAAAGGACACTTAAAATGCATCATGGCGGTGGAACTTGAGTTTGGGCTGACAGGAAGATTCTAAATAGGCAATATTGAATACTTACCCTTATTTTCCTCATTTTGCAAATGAGAAAACTGATTCAGGGTTAAGTTTCTGTGCTAGGATCATAAGCTTAGTGATAACTGATCAGTAAGTGATACAAAGCCAGGTTTTCTCACTTCAAAGCCCATGCTTTGAATTGCTACTCAAAAGTAAGAGAAGTGAGAAAAAAACTTGCTTGGGAGGGAAACTATAGTAGGGGAAGTCAAGAACAAGACCTATTTAGAGTAGTTTTGGAGTAATTATCAATGAAATGGGTTGGAAGTCCTGGAAAGTAAGACAGGTTTGTCTTACTTTTTTGTCTTACTTACATAGGAACCTATCTATGTTCAAGAAGAGAGGATGAATAATGTCGAATTAAAAGTGGATTGGATCAGAATGCTGGATAGTTTGAAGGGAGCAATGGGTAGAGTCAGAGGTCCCAGCCCACAAGCTATTGCAACAGTGTCTATGTAAGGCATTGAGAGTCTGATTTAGGATGATGGCAGTGAGAGAAAAAAAAGTGGGGGTGGGAGCATGGGTTATATAAGGAGAGAGCTTTTAAAGGAACCAAAATCAGTAGAATTTGGCTAAGACTGAGAATAAAAGTTTCCAGGTTTTGAACTTGGATGATAGGGATGGAGGGTTGCTTTTGAAGGAATGTGATGAATATTTTAGTTTGGGGTGACAGTCTAGATAGTTAGAAATAAAGGTAGTTATTTTGAGATTCCAGACTTGCCTGAAAAAGATTAAGAATCATTGTAAAGAGGTGGTGGTGGGAATGGGAAAGTTCTAAGGCAAGAGAAAAAAAAAGAAAAGAACAAAAGGTGATTCACAGGTGGTGGTGGGGGGGAACCAAGAGAATGAAGCATAGTGTTCAAATCAGATAATCATAGTTACTATAATAAGATGACTGTTGTAGGTTGAATGGTCTCAATGTACCAGGCATTGTTCTAAGCATTTGACATTTGTTATGCGACTTAGTACTTACAATGACGATATAGTAGGTCCAGGATACACCTTATATGTTACTAGTCCTATATTAAAGATGTGGGCACAGAAGCAGAGGGAGGATAACTTCCCCAGGTCACTTAGCTAGTTGTGCAGTTGGTATACCAATCCAGTAAGTCCACACTCTTAATGACTATGCTCTTCTGCCTCAGAGGAGAACAGATATGGTGAAGTCCCAGGTAGCCAAGAAGAAAGCTTCCAGAAAAGGTTGGTCAGTAGCATTTGAAATAGTTCTATATTTCTGTATTTTCTTGTCCTATTTCAGTATTAGGAGAGTTCCTGCATCCCTGTGAAGATGACATAGTTTGTAAATGTACCACAGATGAAAATAAGGTACCTTATTTCAATGCTCCTGTTTATTTAGAAAACAAAGAACAAATTGGAAAAGTGGATGAAATATTTGGACAACTTAGAGATTTTGTATCCTTTCTAATTGGAAGACCTAGTAAGCTCATTCAGAGGTTACTATTTGTATTTTTCTGAGGCAATTAAGTATAAATTAAACTTGTAGCTTCTTTAAGTTATACAGTATTGCTACAGATTGGACCATGAAGAAGAATCAAAAGGGGTGAATGTTTTATCCATACATAGTAAAATGATAGGCCTTGGAAAGGTAACTTCCTTTTTGGAAAGTTCTAGAAATTATGGCCGTTTGTATTAGTACTACAGGATTAAGTTGGTTAGTTTGGATATGATAATGCCAATGGTATAGTGTGGTAGAATTGGAAGTTGCTTTTTTTTTTCCTTCTTGGAAACTAACTCATTCTTACCTTTCTTATATATGCCCATATATTCTAACCTTGTTTTAAAATGTGAATTCAGAAACCGTGATATCTTTTTTCATCTTAGTTGCATATTTGTTCCTTAATAAAATTAATAGTATTTTTCAGTTAAATTGTCAGAAAACATGAAGGCATCATCTTTTAAAAAACTACAGAAGGTGAGTCAAACTTAAGATACTTAAGATCCTTGGTTTTATAAGGGAATGACATATCTTAGGACAGTTCTACTTAGGGTGCTCAATCTCAAACTCCTGGGCTCAAGCAATCCTTCTGCCTCAGCCCCCTGAGTAGCTGGGACTGCAGGCATGCGCCACCACATGCAGCTAATTTTTTCTATATATGTTTAGCTTTCCAAGTAATTTCTTTCTATTTTTAATAGAAACACGGTCTCACTGTTGCTCAGGCTGGTCTCAAACTCCTGAGCTCAAATGATCGATCCGCCTCAGCTTCCCAGAGTGCTAGGATTATAGGCGTGAGACACCACACCTGGCCTGATTTGATTCCTTTATTAAAGTCTTGAAGTAGCTAACATGCCAGTGCTTTATTTTGAATTTTAATGCTGCGTTTTTAATGGTTTTATTTTTCTTATGGCCATTCTGTTGAGTGAAAATGCAGTTAATTTTTGTTAGGTATTATCTGTTTCTAAAAAGAAATGAGATTGAATCGGTCTTGAATTTTTTAAATACGCATATAATGCTTATTGTGCCCAAAGTGCCTTACATATATTAACTTTTTTATTTCACACAACCATGTGAAATAAATACTTTATTATCTATATTTTGTAGATAAGAAAACTAAGGCACTAGAAATTAAGTCCATGCCCAGCACTGCATAGTGAAAAGTGTGGTAGGATTAGGATTTGAACCCAGGTAGATTTGACTTGAGCGTGTGGGTCATTTATTTATTTATTGATTGATTGATTGATTGATACAGAATCTCACTTTGTTGCCCATGCTAGAGTGAGTGCCGTGGTATCAGCCTAGCTCACAGCAACCTCAAACTCCTGGGCCCAAGCAATCCTCCTGCCTCAGCCTTCCGAGTAGCTGGGACTACAAGCATGCGCCACCATGCCCGGCTAATTTTTTCTATATATATTAGTTGGCCAATTAATTTCTTTCTATTTATAGTAGAGAGGAGGTCTCGCTCTTGGTCAGGCTGGTTTTGAACTCGTGACCTTAAGCAATCCGCCTGCCTCAGCCTCCCAAGTTGCTAGGATTGCGTGTGGGTTCTTAACGATTATACTGTACTGTTCCCTAAGTCATCACACTGATTGCTTCTCTTATATTTCCAGTTTTATATAGACCCATATAAGCTGCTGCCACTGCAGAGGTTTCTACCTCGACCTCCAGGTGAGAAAGCACCTCCAAGAGGCGGTGGCAGGGGAGGTGGTCGAGGAGGAGGAAGAGGAGGAGTTGGCAGAGGTGGTGGAAGAGGCGGTAAGTTATTTATGGGGGGAAATTTGTAATGAGATTTCAAACTCACAGCTAATTCATGTGGTACAATTTAATTTTGGACACAGGCAAACTTCCCTTGCAAGTATTTAAGTAAAGCTTCTTTCAGATATTGGCAGGTTGCCCATAGTAATAATACTTTGTTCCAACAACTTCTTTAAAAAGAAAAAATATAAGAAAGTAAGCTTTTGAGAGATTTCTTCTCTTTGGGTTATTCATGTTTTCTTGGCCATTTTAATAAAGTATAAGATTATCCTAACTGATTCTTAGTTTCTTAGTTAATGTCATTGAGTATTGGTTGCATGTTAAGAGCTGGACATGTATTCTTTTAATATTATGTTTATTCTCTTAATACTCAGCAAAACCTTTCAAGATAGGTGATATGCTTATTTTATGGATTAGGAAACAGAGACTTACAGAAATTAATTTGCCCTATTCCAGGGGTGGGGAACCTGTGGCCTTAGGATTCAGTCACAAGACTGCACTTAAGGACCTAGAATTCTGGCCATGTGTGGCCTTAAGGCCATAGGTTCTCCACCCCTTCCCTAGTCAAACAACTGGCAGACCCAGAATTAAAATGCATACCTTTCAATATTATGTCAAGAACTATTACCAATAAGTGAATTGCTGTGCTTGCAGTATTTTGAGGCTTTCGCACATTCATCATTATGGTCAGCGAGGTGCCGAGCAGGGTTGGGGGTGACTGGGCTGCAGCACTGGGTGTGCTTGTCTGCAGGTGTGGGAGGGAGCTGGGCGCGTGGTAAGATGATAGGCAGAGCCAAAGTGGAAAGGGAGAGGTGCCGGAAGTTGGGCTTAGACAGCTTCCACGGCTGGACCAGAAAAGAGAGGGAACTCTGTTTTCACCTTTGCTTCTCTCAATTTAATTATCATTTCACTGCATAAAAATGTACTTGTTTGGGTCTACCTAGGTAGGAGGGAATCTCTTTTTAAGAGAACGTATTTCTCTCTTGAGTATTTTTGGGGGTAAACTTCTTGAGAATTTCATGTGAGCATCACCTATGGTCTATATGTAGCTCAGTAACCTTAAACATCCTCTTTATTATAGCTTTCCCAGAGCAAAACCACTCACTGCCATCCCTTTTTTTTAGGGTAAAAGCCTTCATTTCATCAAACTAAAGTATTTACAAAACTGAGCTAATCATATGCTTAAGAGTAGGGCTAAATCATACTTTAACAAGCTTTTCTAATCCATTAAAATGGAATACTTGCTTAAAAGGTGATAATCTGGGATTTTAGCCTACTTCACAATTGGTAAACTACTATAGTTTCTCCCTTTTTATCTTTTAAAAATTTCTGCAGGATGAAATATGTGAATCTATATTCTTTATAATTGTAGGAAGATTGTGTTGAACTTTGTAGGTTTATCAGAATATGAGAGATGATAGTTATTTAATAACTTTATTATTTGTATTATATTACTTAATATACATTTTTTTTTTTTGTTTTTTTTGAGACAGAGTCTCACTCTGTCACCTAGGCTAGAGTGCTGTGGTGTCAGCCTAGCTCACAGCAACCTCAAATTCCTGGGCTCAAGCAATCCTCCTGTCTCAGCCTCCCGAGTAGCTGGGACTATAGGCATGCGCCACCATGCCTGGCTAATTTTTTCTATATATTTTTAGTTGGCCAATTAATTTCTTTGTATTTTTTTTAGTAGAGACGGGTCTCGCTCTTGCTCAGGCTGGTTTTGAACTCCTGACCTTGAGCGATCCTCCTACCTTGGCCTCCCAGAATGCTAGGATTACAGGCATGAGCCACCTCGCCTGGCCTTAATATACATGTTAATATAAATTTTTTCTTTTTGAGATGGTGTCATTGCTCTTGTTGCCTGGGCTAGAGTGCAGTGGCGTCATCGTAGCTCCCTGTAACCTCAGACTCCTGGGCTCTAGTGGTCCTCCTGCCTGAGCCTTCTGAGTGGCTGGGGCTACAGGCCTGAGTCTAATTTTTTCTATTTTTAGTAGAGACAGGGCCTGGCTCTTGCCCAGGTTGATCTTGAATTCCTGACTTCAAGTGATCCTCCCACCTCAGCTTCCCAGAGTGCCAGGATTACAGGCATGAGATACTGTGTCTGACCAAATTTTTATTATATATTACATTATTATTTAATAAACTTTTCCTTTTTTAGGTGGCTTTAGAGGTGGAAGAGGTGGAGGTGGAGGCTTCAGAGGAGGAAGAGGAGGTGGTGGTTTCAGAGGTGAGTGTTAAACTCTCTAAATGATTGAATTTTTAGAATTGACAGTCTGCCATTGTCTCTTTTTATTTATTTCTCTCTGCCAGCAAGTATATAAAACACCATGGTATTCTTTGCTTAGCCTAATTTATGGCTTCATTTTGTATCAGTTTTTCTTTTTCCTTTTAAGTTTTTCACCTACTTTTAATTTAATTTATTTTGGATTATTATTTGAAAAATAAAAAAGGTGTAATGAACAGTAATTAAATTTGGCAAAATATGTTTGCTAAACGTTACAGGAACTAATGTTGATTTTAAACTTAAGATTTGGGTAATAGTACTATTAAAAATCCATTTTTTATGCCCTTAATACTTCAATCTTCTCTTTATCAGGGAGAGGACATTAAGTGTGACACTCGACAGACTTCACCAGTTGGCTTCTGCATTAACCTGCACGATCTGCTTCTACTATGGACTGAAAACTTGTTTCTTAAGCAAGTCTTGAAGATCTGGTCAGTTTATGACAGTGAAACTAAGATGTCAGTGTCATGCAAAAATGAGTGCAGCAGAATTTTGCTCTAAAAGAGCATGAACAAGTCTTTTTCATGTTTTGTACGGTGTCTGGCACTCTGTGGGTGCTTAAATGAGTAGTTTTCATTTGAAGTATATTTGAATTTTTAAAATAAAGTGTTTTATTCCTTTAAGTTATTTAGAGTGTGTTTATTAAACCAAACCCATTTTTTGAAGTTAACAGGAACAACTAACGCTTAAACCCAGTGGATTACAAATAGAAAAAAGAATTTGTTTTCATATATTACTGATCTTTTTAAAAATAGGCCACTAGAGCAGTACTTTAAGATTGTTTACAGTTAATACCCCCTTTTATATATGAGAACATTAGCACCCTTTTATGTATTTCCCTTTTGTATTATGATACATAAATCAAATTTAGTAAAGCAGTTTTTCTAATTGCAACAATTGATTTTAAAATTTAAGTGTGTTAGGCATCTGTTAAACTTGGAGTAGCTTTGTTCAAGTGAAAAATATATAAGAATTTCTTGAGAAACATTTGTCATTCAACATAGATGGGATATTAAAAGTTTTACTGGATATGCTTATTTTATACTTTTTTAAGGGACTCTAAAGGTTTAAGATGTTATTCACCATAAGTAAATCTTTGATTGCCTACTACATATTCAGATTCCTGGCTAGAGATGTTAAATGTTAAAAGTGAATTGGTCTTGGTCACCATTGCTAGTGTAGTATTAGGAAATAACCATGATAGCAAGTTAGGGTTCCATGATATGGAACCATTTACTCTGCTATGATTTTTTTCTCCTGCACGTGTTACTTCTTGGAAGGGATGATATTTCTATATCATTTATTAAATTTTCTAATATACTTGATTAACTGTTGAATGCTCATTGGAGTAGCATATAGTCATCTATGTCATTTTTTTGGTTTTTCTTATCCTTTTTGATTAATGAAATTACAGTGAGATTAATTTATAAGTCATAAATATATATGATGAATAAATATGTTGAAAATATTTTCACAGGAAGAGGTAGCTATATTTTTACAACTTAGGAAAGGAGACTTCTTGATTTAGAATTTTGAGGATAAAATTTTCAGTGAGTATTAAGGCCAGGGTTTTTGCTCTTGGTTTTTAAAAGACTTCAGTGAGCACCAGAGGGGTGATGGCATTATCCCAAGGACAAATAATAGTCCAATATTTCTACAGTTTTTTTTTTAAACATTAAAAAAGATCTAAAATGGCAATGATGGAAGTAATATATAGGTCAGCACACAAACCACTGGAGGTTTCACCTTTTTACCTTAGGTATATCTTTTGGCCATCTTTTAGCTACTCCTCCACCCTCTTTTCTTATAGTATGGTTCTTTCTGGGTTTCCTTTGGGGCATTTCATTTTGAATAAAGTTCACATGTATTTCTAAGCCTCATCCCAATATAGCTTTTCTGTGTCATTCGTGAAGGAAGCATGAGAAAGTACTTTGCACCTACCTCACTCAAATCTGGAAAAAGTTTTATCTGTAGCAGAAAGCTGGCCATCTTTGGAATTAAATTATTTTTCAGTTCTTAGAAATAATTTTTTCTGAAAATTTTAAATGGATGCTAATATTAGATATAATCTATTACAGAAAAGGGAGTATAAAACAAATTTAAAATTTTTCAGTTTTATTTTGCTTACTGAATGAGAAAGAAAAGCAAGAAATAAAAGACTTTAAAACCCAACAAGCCATAGTTTTTTTTTTTTTTGAGACAAAGTTTCACTCTGTTGCCCCGGGCTAGAGTGCCTTGGTGTCAGCCTAGCTCACAGCAACCTCAAAGTCCTGGGCTCAAGCAATCCTTCTGCCTCAGCCTCCTGAGTAGCTGGGACTACAGGCATGCACCACCATGCCCGGCTAATTTTTTATATATATGTTAGTTGGTCCAGCTAATTTCTTTCTATTTTTAGTAGAGACGGGGTCTCGCTCTTGCTCAGGCTGGTCTCGAACTCCTAAGCTCAAATGATTCTCCTGGGGGGGAAATGGGCATTTATTGAAACCTTAAAATCTGTACCCCCATAATATACCAAAATAAAAAAAATAATTAAAAAAAAAAAAATGATTCTCCTGCCTTGACCTCCCAGAGAGTGCTAGGATTATAGGCGTGAGCCATTATGCTCAGCCAGGCCATAGATTTTTAAAAGGGAAGAGAGAGTTGTGCTTCCGTCATGTGAAAATATTTTGATACTTTCGAGAACTGATGAGATTCTTTCCTAGTGCAGGTATTCTTCAGAGTATTGCTTTATATTTATAACAATTTTCGTACTGATAGCTATAAGATTTAGCACCAATATACTTGTTTACTTTCTTGAGTTTGTATGCAGGTGAGAGAACTGAGGCAAAAGCACTATCTTAGGTCCCTTCGTCTTGGGCCACTGTAAGATTTATAAAATTAAAGTAAGTGGGTAAATACAGCCCTCTGGTGGCTCTATTATATGCTTACACTTAACTTCAGTGTGCCTAAGCATTTCTCCAAAGTTTTTCTGATTTTAAGACATTCACTGAGAAGAATCAGATTTTAATAATATTACATGGTATAAAGAATATGGAAAAAAAGTAATAAGGATGTCATCATTCTAACAAATGTTCATATTAATAATAGACTGTAACCCATTTTTCAGGTTATAACATGATAATCCAGAATATTAGAATTACCTTGTACTTTATAACATGAATTCAGATACTTTGTTGATATATGTTATTACTATCATCAGGTAATATTAATTACATATTGAACTGTAGGATAAATTAACTGAGGTAGATGGTGGAGTTGATCATGGTATATCCGTTGTATGAAATATATAGTTGTTAATAAGTTAGACTTATGTTTATTGACCTGGAATTTATAATAAGCCTTTAGGGGAAAACAAGTTGCAAAATGTATGTGTGCATATATGTATTTTTTATATATGTATATTTGTTTAAAAGAAAAGTGGAGAAACCTCAAACTCTTGTATGAATATGTTTGTATAAGCAAAGAAAAGCATGAGAAAGGATATATGCCAGACAACATTGGTACCTTTAGGAAAGTGAGGTTTAAAAGTATGGGAGGAGAGTATTTGTTGCCTGGGCTAGAGTGAGTGCTGTGGCATCAGCCTAGCTCACAGCAACCTCAAATTCCTGGGCTCGAGCAATCCTCCTGCCTCAGCCTCCCAAGTAGCTGGGACTATAGGCATGTACCACCATGCCCGGCTAATTTTTTGTTTCATTTTTAGTTGACTGACTAATTTTTTCTATTTTTAGTAGAGACGGGGTCTCGCTCTTGCTCAGGCTGGTCTTGAACTCCTGAGCCTAACCAATCCTCCCGCCTTGACCTCCCAGAGTGCTAGGATTACTGGTGTGAGCCACTGTACCCAGCCCATCTGTATTTCTAATATTTAAATTATTAATAAAAAATACAAAGGGAAATGAAATGGAAAAGCTCAAAGGATCATCAGAAAACAGGGCCCTTAATCTGAATAGTTTTAGAGAACTAAGGTTGGCTTTTAATTTCAGAACTAATTTCTGCTGGAAGTCAGCTCCTGCACTGATTTTCTGAGTTTGTTTATTGATTTAAATGCTCTGTGTGTGCTTGATAATCTCCTTACATATAAAACTGATGCCCCAGTTGGTTAGAATGCATGGTGCTTGGTGTTTTTGTTTTGCTAATAAGCTTTTCTCTTGTTCTGGGAATTAAAATCCTTTCCTATTTAGCCCAGTTAAATGTGTTAAGGGAGGGCCTCTGAAAAGGCCCTTCTTTGAGGTCTCTTAAGTGGAAATGATTGGTCCTGAAAAATCTTTTCTCACTGGCTCATAAAACAGTTTATAATTACTGAAGGCTTATTATGAAGACTGTCTCAATTCCTTCCCTCCAAAATGCTAAGGAATAATTTAGGCAACAATTCAGACTCTAAAAATGAAGATGGCTCGGTCTTTTCACAGACTGAACACAATATTGTTGCAACTTACTTGATTATGGCAGGTACGGTTGTTTAATTATTTCATTAACAGCTATCTTGCTTTAGAATGAGTGAAGGAAAGCAGAGGTTTTCATCACACGGCTAAAGAAAGAGCATATGTTCTTTCAAGTTCCATATTGGCCAACCTCGACAAATCATTATCCTTAGTTTGCTTGCTCATATGGTAAATGAGGATGATAATAATCTATTTCTGGGCTATAAAGATCAAATAAGAGAATGTGGGTGAAAGCATAAAAGAAAGCATTGTTAATGGTGGATAATGTCACCGGTTATTTTGAATTCTGATAAATAATGTGAGAGCACTGAAGTGGGACTGAGCAGTTTTCTGTGCAATGAATAGTACTTTTGTAAAAATTATCCATATATTTGGTTATTACACTGTCAAGTTTTTATTGGGGCAGAATATATACCATGACAGAAATGTATTTTTATATCATTTACTATTCTTGTTCATAATTTTCATGTTTTTGTTCTTGGTGGTAGAATCTAGCTAAAGATTGAAAGGTTCTGGAAAGAAAATTAAAATCCTAAAAAAACAGAGCAGAGTGTCTTGTCATTGAGAACAGAGTTTTGAAAATTCAGCTAATTCCAAAATGCTATATTTGGATTTCATCTTTTAATATCTTTGCAACTGTGAGTCGATTCTTTCACCTTTTGTTCTTCCATTTTCTTCTCTGTAAACAGGAATGAGAATAAGCTACCTGTCATGATTGTTGTGAGGAGTAAAATGAAATGACACCTAAATGGTACACATAGTAGGTGTTGGACAAATATTTTTCTTTTTCCCCACATACACTCATTGATACAAACATTGGATCAAGATAAAGGCTTGTTTGCAGAAAAAAAGGGGTGGGAAAAATGATAGTAGAAATTCATCTTCTATGCTCAGTACAAGTTTTAGAAGTAACTGCTTGTTATATTGGGTTCATTATTATTTGGTTTGACTTTTTAAAAGTTTTTAAACATATTCAGAAGTAGAGTAAAAAGTATAACAAATTCTCCTATACCCAGTTTATTCTTTACAATTGGTTAGTTTTTTCCTCATAATTCAGAATGTTACTTTTTGTGCTAAAAATTGTGAGTTCCTCAGTTAATTTTTGTAATTTTAGTGACATGTTTATTTGAATACCTCTGTATGATAAGAACTGGGCAAGTTCTATTTTCTTTTTTTATTTTTTTGAGACAGAGTCTCACTTTGTTGCCCAGGCTAGAGTGAGTGCTGTGGCAACAACTTAGCTCACAGCAACCTCAAACTCCTGGGCTCAAGCAATTTTGCCTCAGCCTCCCGAGTAGCTGGGACTAATTTTTTCCCATGCGCCACCATGCTTGGCTAATTTTTTCTATATATATTAGTTGGCCAATTAATTTCTTTCTATTTATAGTAGAGATGGGGTCTCGCTCTTGCTCAGGCTGGTTTCCAACTTCTGAGCTCAAACGATCCTCCAGCCTTGGCCTCCCAGAGTGCTAGGATTACAGGTGTGAGTCACCGCACCCAGCCTCGACTTCCTGTCTTGAAAGTCAAATCTTGCAATTTGTATTCCTTTATAGGGGATGTGGATGTGTGAGAGAGATTCAGATTTGGGTCTGGAGCATGTGTCCAGGCTGGAAATAGTGACAAAGTGCTGTTAGGATGGCATGATGCTTGAAGAGTGAGAAATGAAACTGTAGAAAAACAAGAGCCTTAGTCCTCAGGAAGGAGGAGAAGGAAGTTAAGTTGCCAAAAGAGAGGACAGGATCAGTCATGTATGTACCCTGGAACTTTTGCTGGGGAGGTGGCTGGGGTGGGTGGCCAGGGGTGTGAAAAAAATATGCCTTAAACGTCAGCAGGGATGGCATCGTGAAAGCCAAGGAAGGGGTTTCAAGGACAGAGTGATCAATATTAATCACATTAAAACCGACTTTCAGCTTTGGCTTGTATGATTCTTTGTGTTTTAATTTTCTTATTTCTATTTCACAGAAGAGATAGGCTATGAAGATGCTACAGTTTTAAGAATAGCAGAAGCTGTTCAAATAAATGAACTAAAATAGATTTGCTATGTTTCCAAAAGGGCTTGAATATTTAATTTTGATTTTGAACATTCAAATTAAACAAAATACATGATATTTGTGTGTGTGTTCTCAGGTATGATAAGTATTCTCAGCAACATAATAGTTCTGGGCATCTTCATTAAGTACAAGGAACTCCGGACACCCACCAATGCGATTATTATAAACCTGGCTGTCACCGACATCGGGGTCAGCAGCATTGGCTATCCCATGTCTGCTGCCTCGGATCTGTATGGAAGCTGGAAATTTGGATATGCAGGTTGTCAGGTACTGGAGATCTTTGGAATGATAGAAAAAATAAAGTGTAATAGATCAAAGAAATGTAAATGTCTAAAAAAAAATCCCAAGGGTTTAAATCAAATAAGATATTGTAGGATAATAGATACTGTGCTTTTATGTAAAACAGCTTTTATGTAAAACAGCAGTGACTGGGAATATATTCTTTAATAAGAGAAATAAAATCCACTAACTTCCCCCAACCCAAAGGAAAACACAAACTAATAAAACAGCTAGCATGCAACCAGAGAAGAATGATAATTTGCATATTCAAATGAAAATTTATATGTTGCAAATTCAAAAAGAAATGCTGTTTTCTGTTTTTTATTTAAAAAAATGCCCTGCTTTCTGTTTTTTATTTTAAAATGCCCTGTTTTTTATTTAAAACAATAAAATATTTACTGTCGTAATCATTTAAGGAATGTAATTAAGCTACCATGTTGACCTTTTCTCTATAGAAAGACCTTCATGAGATTATTAAATACATTTACTGTTATTTTTACTAAAAAGGAAATGAATTAATATTAATTTGCATTAGGATAGTAGACAAATAAGACTTTTGGCCTAATTAATTTATTTATTATTTTTTAGACAGAGTCTCACTCTGCTGCCTGGGCTGGAGTGCCATGGCATTAGCCTAGCTCACAGCAACCTCAAACTCCTGGGCTCAAGCGATCCTCCTGCCTCAGCCTCCTGAGTAGCTGGAACTCCAGGCATGCGCCACCATGCCTGGATAATTTTTTCTATATATTTTTAGTTGGCCAATTAATTTCTTTCTATTTTTAGTAGAGACAGGGTCTCGCTCTTGCTTAGGCTGGTTTTGAACTCCTGACCTTGAGCGATCCTCCCGCCTCAGCCTCCCAGAGTGCTAGGATTACAGGTGTGAGCCACCGTGCCTGGCCAGGCCTAATTTTTTAAGTTTTCTATTTTAAGACATAAAATTATAGTGAATGAGAGTAACAGAGAATATTGGATGCCCATGTGTGTACCAACCAATTATGCCAAACCTTAGTGTTTCACAATCTGTGCTTCAGGTTGTTTTTCTTTGTAAAGATATAAAACTTTACAGGTACTGTTGAAAGCCATTGCATACCATCCTCAATCTTATTGCCTTCCCTCCCATGAATGTCTTTCTATCTTACTACTTATTTATATGTACATAAACCACATATTTCCTAGCTGCTTTAGGTTTTGTGTAAAATATTGTTCGCATTATTTGCTTTCTTTTCATTGTTTGATATTTTGTTTTTGAAGCTTATCCACGTTGATGGATGTGACTATGAGTCTTTCATTTTAACTGCTGTATAATATTCCCTTTTAGGAACATAGCCTGATATACTTTTTCATCTTACCTGTTATTGAGCATTTGTTCCCAGTTTTTTTCTATTAATATCATAAACAAGGTTTCAATAAATGTCCTTATACATGTCTCCTTTGGCAATATCTGAGTTTCTCTAGACACATTTCTTAGGCAAGAAATGGTTACTTCTCTTACTCCACATTCTCCCCAATACTTGGGATAGTCAGACTTTGAAATGTTCATTTTTGTGAGTGTGAAATGCCATCTTATAATTTTTATTTCTTAGAACACTTACTATAGTTGTATATTTTTTCTTACGTCATAAACATTCAAATGTACATGGGCTTGTGTCAATAGTCTATTCATAATTTGGCCATTTTTCTATTGAGTTTGTCTTTTTCTCCCATTGAATTGCCTGTTTTCTGAATTCTAATCTTTTGTTGGTTGTAGGTATTGTACTCTAATTTATGGCTTGTCCTGCACTCTGTAGAGTTAAATAGAAGTTTCACCATCTTAAAAATTTTTTTAACTTATTTTAATTAATAAACTCTTAAAACATTTTCCATAAATTCCTTTATTAAACCAGTTATAATAAAATTCGACAGTGTAAGTTATATTTTAAATTAGTAAAATAAAAAAAATTTAGTATATTTGAAATATATTTTAACAATAGGACAAAAATGTAAATGTGTTTTGGGAGGGTATTGAGAATGGTGGAGTCTAATTTTGATTTTCAGATTTATGCTGGATTGAATATTTTTTTTGGAATGGCAAGCATTGGGTTACTCACGGTCGTGGCCATGGATCGATATCTAACCATCTGCCGCCCTGACATAGGTATGGTGCTTTTCTCAGCTTTCTTAATAAATCGATTTTTTGACTAATGTCCACTCAATATACATTAACTTTAAAATATAAACATAGTGCTTTTTAAGCAGTGTCAGTTTTATTTCTCTGGCAAACACTGTTCAAAGATTTCAATGGCTTCCTATTGTACTTAGAATAAAATCCAAATTTCATAAAGCAGCCTGCCAGGCCCGGCATCCCTGGCTCCTGGCTACCTTTCCAGGCTGGGCTATTAGGGCCGCTCAGACTTTGGGGTACTGGCCAAGCCCTTTCCCACCTTGGGGCCCCTGCTATTTTCCTGGGCCTGGACAGGTTTTCTCCCTGCTTACCCTCTGGTTGAGCCTTAAAAATGTCATTTTTTTTCAGAACGTGTATTTATGTAGATAGGTTTTCAGTGAACTAAAATGCTCTGTAAAGAATCTACTTGGTAACAATTTCGAATCGTCAATTAAAATAAAATGAGTGCCATCACTGGTGAACGACACTGATATTTCCTGTGCTTGATCCTAGGAAGAAGAATGACCACCCACACTTACGTGGGCATGATTCTGGGGGCCTGGGTGAACGGCCTGTTTTGGGCTGTGATGCCTATCACAGGGTGGGCTGGTTACGCCCCGGACCCTACTGGGGCTACCTGTACCATAAACTGGCGGAAGAATGATGCGTAAGAGACGGGTTTACGCTTCATTATCAAATGCTTCCAATGTAGACATTTTCTTTTTCTTTCAAAGTTAAGCTCAGACCACGTTTCTCATACAGAGTGTGGCCAAGAGCTTCCTTGCTAGTAATGATGTGGTTCAGACAAGAGCCAAAACTGAGAAAAGTGAATTGTGCTTGTTCGCAAGTAAAGGTCATCCAGCTCCCCTTGTCCCCTGCCTCTGTCCCTGCCTCCCTCGCTGCCGGCCTCTCCTAGGGCAGCAGTGGGGACCACTCGCCCTTCTGCCTCTGCCATCTCGGCGGCAGGACCCTGCAGGAAAAGGGTCAGTGAAGCCAGACGGCGAGGCTGCGGGAAAGCCAGGCTGCTCCCTCCTGTCTTTCCAAGATGCTCTGTGACTTCCAGCCGCTTCTGAGAATTACGTAGCAAAAGTACAGTCCCACCAAAGACTCACCTGCTAGTTGGTGATGCTCTGTATTTTCCAGCGGTAATTTAGTTCATTAAAATAAATGAGAGAGGACTCAGAAATGCAAATAGAAAATTTCTAAATCTCAAACTCAATCCAAATCTAAAAGTTTTTCTGTAGAGTCAAAAAATAAATAATTTAGGCTCTGCGGGCCGGAGGGTGCCTGTCACAGCTGTTCAGTTCTGCCACTGTCCCGCAAGGGCAGCCGCAGGCTGTGCTCAGACAAGCCTCAGGTGCAGTGACAGCGGCAGGCTCGAACCCGCCCCAGGCCGTGGCTTGCCAGCCCCGGTCTGAATGAACGAAAAGTTGAATATACATCCTGAGCTATTTAACAATATAGTGACTGCCAGCATTATTCCTAATAATTATCTCCTCTTTCTCTTTCTCCTATTGAGGACATTAAATGAGTAGTCCACTTCTCCTTTTCTTATTTTCAGATCTTTTGTGTCTTACACGATGACCGTGATTGCTGTAAATTTCGTCGTGCCCTTGATGGTGATGTTTTACTGCTATTTCCACGTCACTCGCTCTATGAAGCGCCACACGGCCGCTAACGGCGCTGGCTCCTCGCACGGAGACTGGTCAGACCAGGTAGACGTAACAAAGGTAAGAAGTCAACATCCTTGAGAAGTTACTTGCAGTCAAGCTTTTATGCATCCATAATTGAGAGAGTCCCGTGGCCCACCAGTCTCCTCTCCCTGTCCCCAGTGTTCACTCCCCGGCTCCTCCTTCGTGTCTGCCTCCTTATTTCTGAATGATATGCGTATCTGCTCTTCTGGATATTTTTGCTTGCTGTCATCTCTTGATTTCCTCCTGTGGGTGATGCGGGTGTATTTCTTGTGTGCCGCCAACCGGCCCCGTTCCTCCCCGGCTTTCTGTCTCCCCGCCGGTCAGCATTTGGTTAGATAGGGAGGCTGGCTCTCTTCTCGCAGCGCGTGGCCCGCCTCGCAGACAGGATGCACCTGATCCTTTGCCGGCAGCCGTCCTGGTACCCCGCAGCCTCTCGCTCTGCCCTGGACGCGCTTGCTGTCCAAGACGCAGCTCGGAATTGGTCGTCCTCAGGTGGCCCTGGGTCACAGCTGGGCATGCCTTTCACCGCTCTCCGCAGCCAGAGCCCCTGTTGTCTAGATTGCTTGTCTTTCGTTTTCTTTCTTTGTTTATTCCTTCTGATTTGGTGGAGAACATTCTCCAGTAGATTCCTGAGGTTTCAGGAGAGGAAAAAATTTTAAGACTTTGCATGACTGCAGCGTCTTAATTCCACTATCCTATCCAACTGATTTTTGCCTGAATAATATCCAAAGAATTTTGAAGGCGTTGCTCCGCCGTCTCCCAGCTTCCAGCGCCACGTGGCAAGGGCATTCTGGTGCCTGGCACTCCGCAGTGGCCTGTGCGTTCTCTCTGGAAGCTTACGGTGTCTTCGCGTAAACCGTAGCTTTCTGAAATTCCGTGCTGATTGCCTTGATTTTCTTAAATGTGCTCTCCTACATGTCTCTTTTGTCTGTTTGTTTGTGGCAGGTGCTGGTTTCTTTTCGTGTCTGGTTTCGGGGAGATTTGCTCAGCCACATCCAGGTGCGCACAGAGTAGGGTGAGGCTAGCGAAGGCCACGCCTTGGGCACAAAATTAAAGTAAGCACCAAAAAGACTCAGTCACAATAACAACAACTACCACATATTAGTAGTTTAATAGAATACTTTACAAGTCAAAATTAATGTAAAATAAACTTATGTTGAACAAAATATAAACTTTTAAGTAAAGTCAGGATCTGACCCTGCACTTCCATGATGCGCCAGACCCACTTCCCGCTGACCCGGCCCCAAGATATCATTCAGCCTTTCTGTTACATTTTAAACACCTCTCCTCTCACTTTTATAGATAGGATAAAATCCATTTTTTAGCAAGAAAAAAGTTATTTTATGCTCTATCCTCCTTTTCCTACAGCCTTCTCTGCTTGTTTTATGGCTGTATGCATATCTTATGTCTGTGATGCTATTACGCATGTATTTCCATTTTCCGTCTGTTCACCACATCTTTTTTGTTCCCCCGAGTTCCTGCACTGCTCTTCTCTCTGCCTGTCAGTATACGAGTTTGCTCAGTGTCCGGTGGTCAGGGATTGTCCCCTCATATTTAAGAGTGATGCCTTAAAAAGCTGATTGTAGGCTCAGAGGTATTCTTTAGCTGAGCTCTTTCTTTTAGGGAAATTTCTGACTGTATCCACCGGTATTTTATTCTGGGCAGGTCAGTTTCCCAGGAGAAGATTCCCTGACGTTCCTGGGTGGGAGGTGCGAGGCTGTGCACGCGCTCTCACGCTCAGTGGCAGGGGCAGCATGCAGATGTGCAGGCGCCCCTCTTTTCAGAACACAACTGCAGTGACAGCTGAGCCTCGTGTCCCTGAGCCCTGAGCTTCCCTACTTTGGCTTTTTTAACCCTGAGCCTCTGAGAATCTTCCAGAGAGAGGAAGGGCAGTATCTGAGCGGACCGAATGAACCAGGAGAAAGGACTCAAATCTAAGTGATGCTTTGTGCAGATTTCAAACAGTTCTCTTGTTGGGAGTTTCATGTGCACCCCCACATTCAGAGCTACCTGGTCTGGATTTCCATCAGTAATGGCTCTTTTTAACATTGATTTATTTATCTTTTAATCATTCTCATGTCTGGTAAGTAACTTACCACTTGTCCAACGGTTATTGTTCCCAATATAAAATATATTGTCTAATCTCTGATTCTTTGTCCTCATGTGTTTATATCTTTTTTAACTTCTTTCCCATCATTTTAGTGGGCAGACACAAGGGAGCAATGTAAAAATCATAATTTTTTCATTTAAGCAAGTTGCAAGGGGTCTCCTTTACAAAATTATCTGCCTCACATGCAATAAACATTAGGTCTGAGCTCAAAATAGGATTTTATCTGTTTTCAGATTGAGTTTAGAAAGTTATTTTTTAGATTAGCAGATAATCACAGTGAGAGCAAAATAATAATACTAATAGTAAACACAATGCCGACTGTTCATAGCACAGTGAGTAGAAGTGGGGCGGGTGGATTTTTATCTGCCTTTCATCAAAGCCAGCTTTTGTACTCTCCCGTAGCACGCCAAAGGAAAGAGGTTATTCTTTTTTTTTTTTTTTGAGCACAGTCTCTTTGTTGCCCAGGCTAGAGTGAGTGCCGTGGCGTCAGCCTAGCTCACGGCAACCTCAATCTCCTGGGCTCAAGCGATCCTGCTGCCTCAGCCTCCCGGGTAGCTGGGACTACAGGCATGCACCACCATGCCCGGCTAATTTTTTGTATATATATTTTTAGTTGGCCAATTAATTTATTTCTATTTTGATTAGAAAGGTCTTGCTTTAGGTCTTGCTCAGGCTGGTTTTGAACTCCTCCTGACCTTGAGCAATCCACCCGCCTCATCCTCCCAGAGTGCTAGGATTACAGGCGTGAGCCACCACGCCCAGCTCAGAAAGAGGTTATTCTTTACATGTGTAATGATTTTAAAAGCAATGTTGGTTATTACTGACGTATCTATTTCACAAGCTCATGTTATCAGAGATGACTTTAGGCACCTAAACAAAGAATGTTGAAAGCAAAAACCCAGCTATTTTGTTTATGTCATCAACAACATAAACTTATTCAAATTCCAATCTAGATAGCTTTTCATGATAGTTTAGATAAATTAGCTATTTAAATCTTGTGGCTATTGGGCTTGGCTAATATTATTTCTTTTACAGATGTCCGTGATAATGATAAGCATGTTCCTGGTGGCATGGTCCCCTTACGCCATTGTATGCTTATGGGCTTCTTTTGGTAACCCAGAGAAGATTCCTCCCTCAATGGCCATCATAGCTCCACTGTTCGCAAAATCTTCTACATTCTACAACCCCTGCATTTATGTGGTTGCTAATAAAAAGTACGTAATGTCTAAAATGCGTTTGAATTTAAAAAATCGATACAAAAATGCTTACGAGGCAGTGGATAACGTTCCAAGACTTTTCAGGAGGTGAGTAAAAGAAACTCACTTCAATCCAGTACAAAGAATATCTGGCTCATGCAACTGGAGCAGCATCTAGGCCCTAAGTGCCGAGAGCTCCAGATTTGTGACAGATGTCAGCTAAGCATCCCCAAAGCCAGCTTCATATCAGTTGGTTCTCTGATGGAAAAGACCCTGGGAGATCGTTGGTCACTTGGTTCAAATGGGCACCCCACCCCAAATACATGGGATGATGGTTTCCAAAGTAAAGAGTGATTCTATTTCTAGAAAACGGACAAGGCAATGCTGGTCTCCCTTAATGGGTAGCGTGGTTGTATATTTCCCAGAATGAAGACATATCGTTCAAATGCAAGAGAAGAATCTACTGCTAACATAAAGGGCTTTAGGAGTGGGTTGTCATTCAGGATATTAGAGAATTCATCCCCCTCCATTTTGTGGAACTCTCAGCAAAGAGTTCCTTTCTTGCCTCCTCAATGAAATTTAGATTATTTCATTTCCTATTACTGCTGGAAAAATTGAATGACTCAATCTACTGTGCTTAAATAGTTGGCCAGAAAATCTCAGTAGAGGTGAGGTAATTTGATCCTGGAGTGACAATGTTGCTTCTATTAAATTTGTATAAACTTGCACGTTTGGGAGAGCAGCTTTAGCGACAGGTATGTGAAGGACCATACAAATTTTAAGACCAGAAAGACCACATCAGAGTAAAGAACAGATTTTAAATTCAGAGTCTGCTGGTAGACTTTTGGGAAAGGTCAGTCATTCTCAAGCCTCCTTAATTTCAACTGGCCTTTGCTTGGAAAAACAGATGCATGAAACATACATTGTTAGTTCAAATAAATAACTCATTGCACTTGACATTAGAAATGTTATTTCAAACACACATCATTATTGGCTTTTATTAAATGTCTTCAATGTTTATAATCAAGGTGCAAAACAGGTCCTTAACTGCACCACATACCCTCTACGTGTATAAAGGTTCTCAACGGGAGATGTTAAAGTTGGAGGCAGAAATTTATTTGGAGATGTCAATTGGCAGTAGCAGCACCATAGCCGCCTTCAAAAATGCTTTAAAACTTCCCATTTATTATAGGATAATGCCAGATCTTCTCTTTTCTATTGTAGGTTTCGGAGGGCAATGTTTGCCATGTTCAAATGTCAGACTCACCAAGCAATGCCCGTGACAAGTATTTTCCCAATGGGTGTATCTCAAAACCCACTGCCTTCTGGAAGAACCTGAAATAAGAGAAAAACACACTCTATCAAAACTTTTTGTTTTGTTTTTGCAATGCTTTATTTTAAATATGAGCCCATTTAGATCAAAAGCAGACATAGATTATGGTCCTATTAGACTGTACATTTCGCAGCTTATAATTCTTCTGTTTGTGCGTTGGCTGCTGTAGTGCGTGTTTCTCTGTTTCTCTTTGTGTAAACTATTGCTCATCTCCTTTGATGAATCCAGGCACATGAGATTAAAGTCTCTTTTCTTTCTCTGTATCATGGCATGCATTACACTGTATTGATGACCTGTAACTTGCTTGGGTCTCCCATTGGACTAGAAGGAGCCATTATTTTGTTAGAATAAATTAATAATAATAATAATGAACAATCCTCAACAAATAATTACTGAAATGAGTTATTGCATGTTCCCAGCTATTATAGAATAGAAAACACTTTTAGCATTTCAAAATGTTAAAATTTTAATCAATTATTAACTTGTTATTTAACAAAAATAATCAAATGAACATTAAATACCATTGCTTCTAAATCACATTAGTCAGTGCACATATGTATTTTATATAGCAATATCATCTCTGTGCATGTTGTTACGTGTTCTGCAATTTTAATTACCATTTTTCTGCATATGTATTTTGTGAGTCACTGCATCCCAGCCTCAAGACTTCCTTGTTCTGAAAGTCAAATCTTGCAATTGTATTCCCTTATAGGGGAGTGGATGTGCTGAGAGAGATTCAGATTTGGTCTGGGCATGGTGTCCAGGCTGGAAATAGTGACAAAGTGCTGTATGATGGCATGATGCTTGAAGTGTGAGAAATGAAACTGTAGAAAAACAAAAGCCTTAGTCCTCAGGAAGGAGGAGAAGGAAGTTAAGTGCCAAAAGAGAGGACAGGATCAGTCATCGTATTACCTGGAACTTTTGCTGGGGAGGTGGGCCGGGGTGGGTGGCAGGGGATGAAAAAATGTGCCTTAAACGTCAGCAGTGATCATCGTGAAACCAAGGAAGGGGTTTCAAGGACAGAGTATCAATATAATCACATAAAACCGACTTTCAGCTTTGGGCTTGTATGATCTGTGGTGTTTTAATTTTCTTATTTCTATTCCAGAAGAGAATAGGCTATGAAGATGCTACAGTTTTAAGAATAAGCAGAAGCTGTTCAAATAAATGAACAAAAAGATTTGCTATGTTCAAAGGGCTTGAATATTTATTTTTGATTTTGAACATTCAAATTAAACAAAATACATGATATTTGTTGTTGATGTCTCAAGGTATGAAAGTATTCTCAGCAACATAATAGTCTGGGACTCATTAAGTCAAGGAACTCCGGACACCCACCAATGCGATTATTAATAAACCTGGCTGTCACCCGACATCGGGGTCAGCAGACATTGCTATCCCATGCTGCTCATTCGGATCGTATGGAAGCTGAATTGGATATGCAGGTTGTCAGGTACGTGGAAGATCTTGGAATGATAGAAAAAATAAGTGATAGATCAAGAAATTTAATGTTAAAAAAATCCAGGTTAATCAAAATAAGATATTAGGATTAGATACTGTGTGTTTATGTAAAACACTTTTAATGTATAACGCAGTGACTGGAATATATTCTTAATAAAGAAATAAAATCCACTAATAACATTGTTATATTCTTCAAATCCCCCAACCCATAAGGAAACACAAACTAAATAAAACAGCTAGCATCGCAACTAGAGAAAATGATAATTTCATATTCAAATGAAAATTTATATGTTGCAAATTCAAAAAGAAATGCTGTTTTCTGTTTTATTTAAAAAATGCCTGCTTTCTGTTTTTATTTAAAATGCCCTGTTTTTTATTTAAAAAATAAATATTATATTTACTGGTCGTAATCATTTAAGGAAGTAATTAAGCTACCATGTTGACCTTGCTCGTATGAAAGACTTCATGCATGAAGATTATTAATACATTTAACTGTTATTTTTACTAAAGGAAATGAATAATATTAATTGCATTAGGATAGTAAGACAAAAAGACTTTGCCCTAATTAATTTATTATATTTTTAGACAGAGTCTCACTCTGCTGCCTGCTGGAGTGCCCAGGGCATTAGCCTACCTCACAGCAACGCTCCACTCTGGCTCAAGCGATCCTCCTGCCTCAGCCTCCTTGAGTAGCTGGAACTCCAGGCAATGCGCCACCATGCCATGGATAATTTTTTCTATATATTTTTACGTTGGCCAATTAATTTCTTTCTATTTTTAGTAGAGACGGGGTCTCGCTCTTGCTAGGCTGCTTTTTGAACTCCTGACCTTGACGATCCTCCCCGCCTCAAGCCTCCAGAGGCTAGGATTACAGGTGTGAGCCACCGCGCCTGCCAGGCCTAATTTTAAGTTTTCTATTTAAGACATAAAATTATAGTGAATGAGAGTAACAGAGAATATTGGATGCCCAGTGTGTACCAACCAATTATGCCCAGAACCTTAGTGGTTCACAATTTGCTCAGGTTGTTTTTCTTTGTAAACTGATATAAATACTTTACAGGTTACTGTTGAAAGCCATTGCATACCCCATCCCAACTATTGCTTCCCTCCCATGAATGTCTCATCTTTACTTACTTAATTTATGTATAACCACATATTTCCTAGCTGCTTTAGGTTTTGTGTAAAATATGTTCGCATTATTTGCTTTCTTTTCAATTGTTTATATTTGTTTGAAGCGTTATCCCACGTTGAATGGAGTGACTAATGATCTTTCATTTTAAACTGCTGTATAAATTCCGCTTTAGAACACAGCCCGATATACTTCATCTTACTGTTATATGACATTTGTTTCCCAGTTTTTTTCATATTAATATCATAAACAAGGTTTCATAAATGTTCTATACATTCTCCATTTGGCAATATCTGAGTTTCTCTAGACACCATTTCTTAGGCAAGAAATGGTTACTTTCTCTTACGCCACATTCTCCCCAATCTTGGATAAGCCCGACTTTGAAATGTTCATTTTTGTGATGTGAAATGCCATCTTATAATTTTATTTCTTAGAACACTTCTAAGTTATATAATTTTTCTTACATCAATAAACCATTCAATGTACATGGCTTTGTCAATAGTTCATTCATAATTGGCCATTTTTCTGTTGAGTTTGTCTTTTTCTCGACTTGAATTGCCTGTTTTCTAAATTCTAATCCTTTTGTTGGTTGGTAGGTATTGTACCTCTAATTTATGCTTGTTCTGCACTCTGTAGGTTAAATAGATTTTCACCATCTTAAAAATTGTTTTTAAACTTATTTTAATTAATAAACCTTAAAGACATTTCCACAATTTCCTTTATTAACCAGTTATAATAAAATTCGACAGTGTAAGTTAAATATTTAAATAGTAATAAAAAAATTTAGTATGATTTGAATAATATTTTAACAATAGACAAAAAGTGTAAATTTTTTGGGAGGGTATTGAGAAGGGAGTCAATTTGATTTTTCAATTTATGCTGGATTGAATATTTTTTTGGAATGGCAACTTTGGGTTACTGCACGTGTGGCCATGGATCATATCTAACCATCTGCGCCCTGACATAGGTATGGTGCTTTCTCAGCTTTCCTTAATAAACGATTTTTTGACTAATGTCCACTCAATATACATTCCACCTTAAAATAAAACATACGTGCTTTTAAGCAGTGTCAGTTTTATTTCTGGCAAAACAGTTCCAAGATTTCAATGGCTTCCTATTGTACTTAGAATAAAATCCAAATTTCATAAAGCAGCTGCCAGGCCCGGCATCCCTGCTTCCTGCTACCTTCCAGGCTTGGCTATTAGGCCGCTCAGACTTGGGGGTACTGGCAAGCCCTTTCCCACCTTGGGGCCCCTGCAATGTTCCTGGCCCGACAGGTTTTCACTGCCCTCTTACCCTCTGGTTGAGCCTAAAAATGTCATTTTTTTCGAACGTGTATTTAACTTAGATAGTTTTCAGTGAACTAAATGCTTGTAAAGAATCTATGGTAAACATTTCGAATCGTCAATTAAAAATAAATAGTGCCATCACTGGTGACGACATTGATATTTCCTGTGCTTGATCCTAGGAACGAAGAATGACCACCCACACTTACTGGCAATTCTGGGCCCTGGGTGAACGGCCCCTGTTTTGGGCCTGGTGATGCCTATCACAGGGTGGGCTGGTTACGCCCCGACCTACTGGGCTACCTGACCATAAACTGGCGAAGAAGGATCGTAAGTACGGTTTACGCTTCAATTATCAAATGCTTCCAATGTACATTTTTCTTTTCTTTCAAAGTTAGCTCAGACCACGTTTTTTTTTTTGAGACCAGGTCTCGCTTTGTTGCCCAGGCTAGAGTGAGTGCCAGTGCGTCAGCCTAGCTCACAGCAACCTCCAAACTCCTGGCTCAAGCAATCCTTGCTCTCCAGCCTCCCGGTAGCTGGACTACTGCATGTCCACCATGCGGGCTAATTTTTTTATATATATATTGGCCAATTAATTTCTTTCTATTTATAGTAGAAGACGTGGGTCTCGCTCTTGCTCAGGCTGGTTTGAACTCCTGACCTCTGAGCAAATCGCCCGCCTCGGCCTCCCAAGACTAGGGATTACAGGCGTGAGCCACAGCGCCCGGCCTGACCACGTTTCTCATACAAGTGTGCCAAAGAGCTTCTTGCTAGTAATGATGTGGTTCAGACCCAAGATCAAAAACTGGAAAAGTGAATTGGTGCTTGTTTGCCAAGTAAGGGTCGATCCAGCTCCCTTGTCCCCTGCCTCTGCCTTGCCTCCCTCCGCCGCGGGCCTCTCCTAGGGCAGCAGTGGGGACCACTCGCCCTTCTGCTCTTGCCATCATCGGCGGCAGGACCCCGCAGGAAAAGGTCAGTGAAGCCAGAGGCGCGGCTGCCGGAAGCCCCAGGATGCTCCCTCCCGTCTTTCCCAAGATGCTCTGTACTTCAGCCGCTTCTGAGAAATTTTTTACGTAGCAAAAAGTACAGTCCCACCAAAGACTCACTGCTATTTGGTGATGCCTGTATTTCCAGCGTAAATTAGTTCATGTAAAATAAATGAGAGAGGACTCAGAAATGCAAATAGAAAATCTCTAAATCCCAAACTCAACCAAATCTAAAAAGTTTTTCTAGAGTCAAAAAATAAATAATTTAGGCTCTGCGGCCGGACGCTGCCTGTCACAGCTGTTCAGTTCTTGCCACTGCCCCGCAAGGCAGCCCGCAGGCTTGCTCCGCAAGCTCAGGTGCAGCGACGGCGGCACTCGAACCGCCCCAGGCCTGGCTTGCAGCCCCCGTCTGAATGAACGAAAAGTGAAATACAATCCTGAGCTATTTAACAATATAGGTGACTGCCAGCATTATTCCTAATAATTATCTCCTCTTCATCTTTCTCCTATTGAGGACATTAAATGAGTCAGTCCACTCTCCTTTTTCTTATTTCAGATCTTTTGTCTTACACGCGATGACCGTGATTGCTGTAAAATTTCGTCGGTGCCCTTGATGGTGATGTTTTACTGCTATTCCACGTCACCCTCTATGAAGCCGCACACGGCCGCTAACCGGCGCTGCTCTCGCACGAGACTGGTCAGACCAAGGTAGACGAACAAAGGTAAGAAGATCAAACATCCTTAGAAGTTACTTGCAGTCCAAGCTTTTATGCACCCATAATGAGAGAGTCCTTGGCACCAGCTCCTCTCCCTGTCCCCAGTGTTACGCCCTGGCTTCCTCCTTCGTGTCTGCCTCCTATTTTCTGAAGAATGCTTATCTCTCTTCTGGATATTTTTGCTTGCTGTCCATCTCTTGATTTCTCCTGTGGGTGATGCGGTGTATTCTTGTGTGCCAACCAACGGCCCCGTTCCTTCCCGGCTTTGTGTCCCCGGCCCGGTCCAGCGTAAGTGTTCCAGCATTGGGTTAGATGGAGCTGGCTCTCTTCCGCAGCGCGTTGGCCCGCCTCGCAACAGGATGCACACTGATCCTGTTGCCGTCAGCGTCTGTACACGCCAGCCTCTGTCGCTCTGCCCTGGGCGGCGCTTGCTGTCCAACGACCAGCTCGGAATGTCGTCCTAGGTGGCCCTGGGTCACAGCTGGGCATGCCTCCACCGCTCCGCAGCCAGAAGCCCCTGTTGTCCTAGATTGCTGTCTTTCGGTTTTCTTTCTTGTTTATTCCTTCTGATTTGGTGGAGACATTCTCCAGTAGATCCGAGGTTTCAGAGAGGAAAAATTTTAATACCTTTGCGACTGCAACGTCTTAATTCCACTATCTATCCGACTGAATTTTGCTGAATAAATCAAAGAATTTGAAGCGTTCTCCCGTCTCCCAGCTCCAGCACCGCGTGGCAAGCATTCCTGGTGCCTGGCAACTCCAGTGGCCGTCGTTCCTCAGTCTGGAAGCTACGTGTCTTCGCGTATACCGTATCTTTCTGAAATTCCGTGCTGATGCCCCTTGATTTTCTTAAAGTGCCTCCTACAATGTCTTCTTTTGTCTTTTGGTTGTGGTGCAGGTGCTGGTTTCTTTTCGGTCTGGTTTCGGGGAGATTGCTCAAGCCACATCCAGGTGCCGCACAGAGTAGGGGAGGCTAGCGAAGGCCACCGCTTCACAAAATTAAAGTAAGCACACAAAAAGACTTCATCACAATAACCAAACTACCACCATATTAAGTAGTTTATAGAATACTTACAAGTCAAAATTTAATGTAAAATAAACTTATGTTGACAAATATAAATTTTAAGAAAGTCAGATCTGACCCTGCAACTTCCATCGATGCCGCAGACCCACTTCCCGTGACCCCGGCCCACGATATCATTCATCTTTCTGTGTACATTTTAAACCACCTCTCACCTCTTTGGTATAGATAGATAAAATCCATGTTTCAGAAACAATAGTTATTTTATGCCATCCTCCCTTTTTCCTACAGCTTCTCTTCTTTGTTTTATGGCGTATGCATATCTTATGTCTGTTGAATTCTAATAACCGCATTATTCATTTTCCTCTGTTTCCCGCATCTTTTGTTCCCCTGAGTCTGCATGCTCTTCTCTCGCTGTCAGTATACGAGTTTTGCTCAGTGTCGGTGGTCAGGATTGCTCTGGTCATATTTAAGAGTGATGCTTAAAGCTGATTGTAGGCTCCAGAGGTACTACTTTAGCTGACTCTTTCTTTTAGGAAATTTCTGACTGTATCCTCGGTATTTTATTCTGGGCAGGTCATTTCCAGGAGAGATTCCTGAACGTTCCTGGTGAGTGCGAGCTGTGCACAGGCGCTCTCACGCTCAGTGGCCAGGGGCAGCAACAACAAAACAGACACACACATCAGTACACCAATGCAACACACATCGTGAAACAACAACATGAAGCATTCCCCAAACTTTTGGCTTTTTAACCTGGCCTCTGAGAATCTTCAGGAGGAGGAAAGGGCAGTATCTGAGTGGACCGATGAACCAGGAGAAAGGACTCAAATCAAGTGATGCTTTGTGCAGATTTCAAACCAGTTCTCTTGTGGAGTTCATGTCACCCCACATTAGCGCTACCTGGTCTGGATTTCCATCAGTAATGGCTTTTTTAACATTGATTATTTATCTTTTAATCTAATTCTCATGTCTGGTAAGTAACTTACCACTGTCCACGGTTATTGTTCCCAATATAAAATATATTGTCTATATCTGATTCTTTGTCTCATGGTGTTATATCTTTTTTAACTTCTTCCATCATTTCTAGTGGGCAGACCAAGGGAGCAATGTAAAAATCCTAATTTTCATTTAAGCAAGTTGCAAGGGTCTCCTTTACAAAATTATCTCCTCACAATGCACATAAACATCCATCTCAATGCCTGTGTTAGGTCACTGAGCTCAAATAGATTTTATCTGTTCAGATTGAGGTTAGAAAAGTTAAGTTTTTTAGATAGCAGATAATCACAGTGAGAGCAAATAATAATACTAATATAAACACAAATGCCGACGTTCATCAGCACCAGGTGAGTAGAAGTGGGCGGGTGATTTATCTGCCTTCATCAAGCCAGCTTTTGTACTCTCCGTAGCACGCCAAAGGAAAAGAGGTTATCTTTTGTGTTTTTTTTTTGAGTCACAGTCTACTTTGTTGCCCAGGCTAGAGTGAGTGCCGTGGCAGTCAGCCCTAAGCTCACAGCACCTCAATCTCCCTGGGCTCAAGCGATCCTGCTGCCTCAGCTCCCCCGGGTACTGGGATACAGGCATGCACCACCATGCCGGCTAATTTTTTGTATATATATTTTTAGTTGGCCAATTAATTTATTTCTAATTTTGATGAAAGGTCCTTCTTTAGTCTTGCTCAGGCTGGTTTTGAACTCCTCCTGACCTTGAGCAACACCCCCTCATCCTCCAGAGTCTAGATTCAGGCGTGAGCCACCACGGCCAGCTCAGAAAAGGTTATTCTTTACATGTGTAATGATTTAAAAGCAATGTTGGTTATTACTTGACTGTACTTTTCACAGCTCCTGTTTCAGAGATGATTTAGCAACTAAACAAAGAAAGTTGAAAGCAAAAACCCCAGCTATTTTGTAATTTTTTCTATATATATTAGTTGGCCAATTAATTTCTTTCTATTTATAGTAGAGATGGGGTCTCACTCTTGCTCGGTGCTGGTTTTGAACTCCTGACCTCAAGCAATCTGCCCACCTCAGCCTCCCAGAGTGCTAGGATTACAGGCATGAGCTACCATGCCCGGCTGATAGCTAATCTTTTAAAAATAAAGTTCCAGTCCCCCAAATAGTCAATCCCCTGCCAAACATGGTGATTCAAATATTCAAAACCCTCAGCTGGACTTTCAAGACCCTTGCCAACATGGCCCCAAAGGGACTTTTCAGCTTTTTGTCTTTCTCTATGGCCAGATTAAAATGTTTAGTGTTCCCAGAGAACTCTGAATGTTTTGTGCCACTATCTCTTTGCTCATCCTGTTCTCTGGAGCTGAGAAAGCACAGTGAGGGTCTGTGCCCAAAGTCACAGAGCCATTAAAAGGCCAAGACAATTCATGTAATATTGTATAGAAAATTGATTCAGAGTTCTGATTTGCAAAGCCTGGACTCATTTCCAGGAATGGTCAAGGGGCAACTTTGCCTCAAGCATAAAGGACTTCAACAGTGGGCATACTTATATTTTAATACTACATTAATCAATCAGTTTGCTTATGTGATAAGACGAGGCAGACCTGGCTTTGGTTACACAGCTGCCTCTAACCTCTTAGTTTACTAACTTCTGATGTTTGATCTTTAAACAGCTTTTCTGTACTCAGTTTGGCATGTCTTGCTCCTGCGTAGGTCATAACATCCATGAAACTAATAATTCACAAATCATTTTGACCATTTGGTGATCACAGTTCTATTCATCACCATCCTCCCATTTCTTCCTTCTCTTGTGTTCAAAAACCCACCTAGGGTCACCACCTCCACATCTCAGCACCGGGAAGCCTCAGGGGTGTTCTTAAATCTCTTCCTCCTTCCTTCTTCCTCCTTCTTCCTTTCCTCATCTTCTTCCTCTTGCTTTCCTCATCTTCTTCTTCTTCTTCTCCTCCTTCCTTCTTCTTTCTTCTTCTTTACATCTAAGCGAGCATTTCTCCCTCCTACGTGATTCCTGAAGCTGCACTGTCCTAACCACCCCAGCGCAGCAACCAAGGCTGCAGCCTGATGTCTGCTCATCTGGACTCAACCACAGCCGCCCACCTAAAGCCTCTTCCCCTTCTCGCATGTTCTGTCTGAACCTTTCCTCCACACAGCCGCTGGAGAATTCTACCTAAGATGATAATCTGAGGTGGCACTCCCAGGCCTAACCTTTATTGCTCCTGTTACCCACAGGCTGAGGGTAAGCTGTTTAATAGGGAATCTAAGGCCCTTCCTCCATAGCTTGAACCTCACTTACCTCTCGGCTTTATCTTCCCCCCTCTTCAACTTCCTGCCTCAAAACCTTAAGCCTGAGCAACAAGACGTGCTTGCTGTGCTCTGGGGACAACCTACTGCTTCTTGCTTCCCTCCCTTTTTTCCTGCTGTTGGCCCTTTTCCTGGTTTTCCCATAATACACTAACATGCATCCTGTAAGAGGCGGCTCAGGTACCGCCCACCTAGGAAGTCCTGCCCCACCCACACAGGCTGGCTTTGACGTTCTTCTCTTGTGTGTCTTCAGTCCTCTGTTCCTCTCTTTACCATGCAAGTCCCTTATGTGTGGTGGCCGTGTCTTGTGCATCTTTGTACCCTCAGTGCTTGGCACAGAGGAAGCTCTAGGTCAGTATTTGATGAACGAATGAATTGTGCAGAATCTGAAAACTTGCAATGTTTCATTTTAATTGAGCAAAGTTTTTCAGATTCTCTTGTTTCTATGTAAATTCTACTAGTTTTAAATAATATTTCCCATAATATTCTTATTTTTGTAGAATTAATTTTTTTAAAAAAGTTTTTGGTTAAAAAGATTAAAGGCATATGTTTATTACTTAAATCCTTGATTGTCCCTGTGAATACTCCATTCTTATGTGTGTGGAGATGGTTTTAATTTACTTTAATTTTTTATTTTCTGATAGAGCCTAATATTGCTAACAGAATGACAGTTGATTTTCATATATCATTTTGATGCTTGGGAAACTAGCTTGGAATAAAATATATTTTGATACTTGGGAAACTAGCTTGGAATAAAATATATTTTTAAACAGAGATAATTGCTTCCATTAAAAATAAAGATGCTAAGATAAACCTGGACCTTACACATACTGAGATGATCTGAGGGAGTCTCAAAACACATTCTCACTGGAGTTGTAGTCCTGCCCTGTTAGTGTGGATTGAAGCATTTTTCCTTAAAAAAAAAATCTATGTACTAGACTTGGTTGACTTTGCTTTTGGAAATAACCAGTATGTGGCAAAATTGATAACTGTATTCTAAATCAACTTCATGCATTGTGCTTCTATTTTTAAAACTCAATTTTGTAAAACTGAATGTTGTGCATCCTGGTGAAAAGCAAAGGCAAAAAATTTATAATGTGATGACATGTAAATAATCTACGGAATCTTCTAACATCTGCTGAGACTGAGTTATTTTTAATGCTAAGTATTTTTTTTGGGTGTCCTGGCAAATACATCCATAGGAAAGGGATTTCATAGGCATTTCCTTGCAAATCTAGATGTGGGTAACTATTGAGATTGTTTTGACATGTGTTTGATTTTCATTTTCCTTAGAATGTGTTACTTTGCTACTACCGCATTCAAAGGCTGGGTCGATTGATCCCTAGCAAGATACACTTGAAGGTTAAGTAGCTACGGATTTCAGCTAATCCCGCATAATCTGCTGCGACTAGATGGCTGCTTGCACTCCCGGCACACCGCTTCCGAATGCTTAGGATTCGCTTTTTACCTTTTGTTCAGACAACCTCTAAAAGGAGTGATGCGTCTCTTCGCCTGTCTGTGCATCCTGCTGAGCTGTTTGGGAGGAGGGGGCTGTTCGTGTCCTTCGCAATGCACCTGCGACTACCACGGCAGGAACGACGGCTTGGGATCCAGGTACGCTCCTCTCCTTGCTACGACGTGTGCTGATTATCCTGACGAATGACTCAAACAAGACAGCCTTATTTAGAAAGCAAATGTTTGATGATCAGAAATCGGAGGAGAGAAGGTTTAACTTATATAAGCTTTAATTGAATTGTGTTAATGCTCATTGCCTACTCCTTCACTGCTTTTATTTTGAGCAGTTTAACTCTTAACAGGGCTCTCAAATTATCTGAGACTCCTAACCACATTCTGTGTTACAGAAATACTCATAAGGCTCCTACTCACAAAGTATCTCTTTCGGGAGGTCAAACCTGGGATGTGTGTGGCCACCTGATTACATAACAGGAAGCGTAAGAGGGCAGGGCGGGGCAGGAGCCAGCGCGTCCAGGTCATCCGCCTGCGTCAGGCTTCTCCATTTCATTGGAGGATTATTCACAACAACTGGCCAGGAGGAAGGAGGATCGCAAGACTGAAGTTAGAGACGTTCATCATTAGAATTTTTCATTTTAAGCTGATGGAATTTGCAAAGTAAAGAAGGTTCTGGATACCTCACAGAAGTTATTTAATCTCTAGGTGGCTCTTACATCTACCTGTGAAGTGAGAATAGTCATTTGCTTAAACTGTGCACGAGTCCTTTCAGAGAGAAGTCAAATGTAAAACAGAACTGCTGTTAGCTATACATGGTAGACCTTGATTTTGGGGCGAGGGGAGAGGGGTGGGGAGGGTATTTAATAATCAAAGTATTTGTGACTTGGTTGAAGTAAACAGTAGTTCTCAAACAAAATAATTTGTTAAAATAGCCCAGCTTATGTCATACAACTTTAAACAAATAATAATAATTCAAACGTATTTGTGAGTAATATATCTTGTTATTATGTGAAGTTTACTTAACCAATTCTTGTTTTCTTTTTGAGATATTTACTGGGTGGTTAAAGACAATAATAAGGACAGTCACAAATCAAGGCCCTACTTGCCCAGGAATATGCAGCAGTTAATAATTAGACCAGGGTGCTTTTGAGAAAACGATCACAGAAATGTTTCCTTCTCCAGGGTGGCCCCATTATTGATGGATTTTATGAAAATCATAAAATATTATGCCTGGAAAGAACTTGAAATAATCTAGTTCAATTCCTGTTATTTATAAGAGAAGAAACTAAACTACATGGAGACTAAATGACTTATCTTAGTCACATAGTCGTGTTGATGCAGTAACTGAGTTGATGAAGATGCTAGGTCTTTTAGCTTGCAGTTTAGGTTTTTTCTGTTATAACACACTGGAATGCTTTCTTAAGGACCAGAAACTGCTACTGTCTTGTGTAAAGTAGCACTGAAATCTGTGATACAAAATAGAGACGAAGAGTAAGAGGTATCCCTAGAAAATTCCAGCGATTCCCCAGGTCTCCTGAATTCACAGAAAGGAGGCGACACCACCAGCGTGGTACAGTTACGCTGCTTACTCTGTTTACATTACAGCCTGGTTTTTCAAACCCATGGATTTAACGTGGTGTGTTTTACTGAACAACCATTTTATTGTTATTATTTACTAAACATATAGTGTGTTATAATTTAGATAATGTTCTGCAAAACTTTTTATTGTCCATATTCAGCAATTCAGATTATATTACAGGTGAAAAATAAATCTTTTTATTTTTCCCCCAGAGACAGGGTCTTGCTCTGTCTCCCAAGCTGGAGTGCAGTGGCACAATGATAGCTCACTGTAACCTCAAACTCCTGGGCTCAAGCCATCCTCCTGTCTCAGCCTCCTGAGTTGCTGGAGCTACAGACATGTGCCACCATTCCAGGCTAATTTTTAAAGATATTTTGTAGAGGTGGGGGTCTTGCTATGTTGTCCAGGCTGGTCTCGAACTCCTGATCTCAAGTGAATCCTCCCACCTTGATCCTCCTACCTTGGCCTCCCACAGTGGTGGCTTATAGATGTAAGCCATAGTGCCTGGCCTCGCTCTAGTACTTTCCCAACTGCACCTGAATCTACAATTATGTCAAAATAAAATGATTAAATTAAAAAATAGGATTCCCTGAAAAGAGTTTCAAAATGCTTATGCCCAGGCCCTCACCCATAGATTCTGGTTTACATGACTAATATGCAGCCAGGTTAAGAACCACGAGCAAAGCTGATGGTATCGATATATTACAACACTTACAACTGGAGATTTTAAATAGTCTTTGTTCTATATAAAAAAAGCAAATATTTTGGTAATAAGTATTGTGATATAAAAAGAAATGTACTTGGTCTTTCAGCCCTGTTCCTTGGCACAGAGCTCCTAAAATCCTTGGAATTTTCCTGAGTGATGATAAATAGATCTTTTTTCAGGCTATCATGAATCTAAAGTCTCATATTCCTCATACTTGAAACCCACACATGGCCCAGCCTTGTTTTTCTACATTTGTTTTACACGTGCCAACAAACAAGATCAAAACGTGACTTGCTCAAGGTCACTTAAGTTAGTGAGTGGCAAAAGGAACAAACTCTTAGTTTCTGGTTTATTCCTTAGGCAACAAGCCACGCATAGGTCACATGGTTAAAACTAGGCTCAACTTTAAACATCCACTGTGAATACTTGTTTTTTTTCTTAAATAAAAAATGATCCTCTTAGAAAGGATCAATTTATAATAGGGGACTCTTTTAAAATGAGCTATTTCCTAAAGAGGTTCACTGCGAAGTTGGACAGAAGTAGTTTTGCTGGTGGCTGTGTGACCCACTGGCTGAGTGACCTTGGGAAGTGACTGAATGTTTGTGGGCCTCAGTTCTTTTTGATGCAAAACTGATATTGCTGATAATAGCATCAAACACCTACTGAATGCTTATTATGCACCAGGAAAGTGCAAAATTTTACATGCATTTTAATTACCCATCATAATAATGCCATCTGGGAAAATGAGGTTGAAAGACAGGTGAGGTGGATTCCCAGGGCCACAGAGCAGGTGGCAGAGCTCAGATTTGCACCAAGATCAACCTGGCTCAAGAGCTGGTGCTTTTACCTGTTAGCTTAATGGTAGAGTGAAAACAGATGGTAGATTGTCATGATGATTAAATAAAGTAACGATGCAACCTTGTTGCACAGGCCTTGCAAGTAAAGAGCCCCATAAATATTGGGTTGAACCACAGGAAATTACTGATATTTGAACTTTTTTTTTTTTACTACAAAAATGGTGATTTCAAATGCTTGAGCCTAATAGTAGCTGCTGTCATCGTGATAATGATGAAGATGATGATGATGATGACAATGCATTATTAATGAACAGATTAGCCAGGCTTGAACAGATATTTTTTTGACCAAGTAGAGATTGAAAAATTGATGCATGTTTCAAATGAGAATCATTTTTTCAAATGAGTCTTGGAGAGTGGTTTCCTTGCATTGCTCTTGTGACATTAGGTCGGTACTCTGTAACGACATGGACATCAACGAGATGCCTACTAACTTCCCGGTAGACACCACGAAGCTTCGCATCGAGAAGACTGCGGTCCGCAGAATCCCGGCAGAGGCCTTCTACTACCTGCTGGAGCTCCAGCACCTCTGGGTGAGTTATAACTCCGTGGTCACCGTTGACCCCAGCAGCTTTTACAACCTGAAGCAGCTGCATGAGTTGCGCTTGGACGGGAATTCTCTGCTCGCCTTTCCCTGGGCGTCTCTGCTGGACACGCCCCGTCTGAGGACCCTGGATTTGCGCAATAACAGAATAACCACTGTGCCCAGTGAGGCGGTCAGGTACCTGAAGAGCCTCACCTACTTGGATTTATCAAGCAACAGATTGACCACGTTGCCACCAGATTTCCTGGAGAGCTGGTCTCACTTAGTTACGGCACCTGGAGGCCTGGACCTTTCACCAAGAATTATTCTCGGTAAGCTCACCAGCCTCTGGGCTTTTCCTATACAGGTACTTTGCTATACATACCGTTAGCTGTCCAGTCTGTTAAAATCTATTGGATTTGGTCTCTTACTCTGAATTTGCACTTTTAATGGAATAGGACCTTATCAGTTAAGTTAGGTCAGGTTACCTGTCTTCCCTTGTGTCAGGGCTAATGGCTGCACACGCGTGTGCATGGGCTTATGTGCACGCGTGGAGAGGTGAGGGAAAACTAGCCTCGTAAACCGAGACCGTTCCACTTCTCTTAGAGGGCCTTGAGCTGAGTGACAGAGTCCCCACCTGCCTTGACTCCTGAGAGCGCACCAGTGTCATACTCTGGTCCACGCAGCCTTCTGCTCACGTTGCTTTTCAACTCACCAAGAGGTTCTTCAGGAGTAGGAAAGGGGTGTTGGTATCTTTACGAGATAGCAGTGGTTTAATTAGTTAGGAAGAATTGCTCCCAGTAATGAAGCTTGGTAGAACTGGGATTTCAGCCCAGACATTAGGTTCCAGAGTCACACTTAGTCATTTGCAATGTAAAAATAAACTAGAAAGTCTGCTTGGGGCATGCAATTGGGTGAAGGAGCCAACACTTAAGAGAACAGAATTCAAATGAATATTAACTAGAGAACTAGTTGTAGATTCACAAGACTAAATGTAAGAGCAGACGTTCAAGGTTATTCTCCAATGGAGGAAAAGCACATTTTTAAAATAGAAGATAGAAAAAGTAAACTTTTATCAACACTGACAGAAGAATATGAGCCAGTCATGGACTGCTATTCTAATAAAAATAGGCATCATAGAAAGATAGAATTTTTGAGCTAATAGTTAAATTTCTACCATGGTTAGAATTTTCTAAATTGCAATTCTGTCTTTTCTTCTCAATTTATATTCCACCCCATTATTAAAAAGCCATAACCACACATCTCTGAGATAAATTTTTTTTTCTACCTTGGCCTTTACGTGAAGCTGTTATGGGATATCACCTTAAGGCCCCAGAGAGACTTAACTGACAGAATGCTGTGAAGCGCCATCTTAGATCCTTCCGAGATTTTAGCAAATAATTTCATAGTCTCACTCTGGATTTGATTTTTGCTCTGAAGTCCTTTCTTCATTTGAGAAATTTGGAAATGCTGAGAATAAGAAACAGCTTTGTTACTGAACCCAGCAAGTTTGGTTTCCTTTCTATGTCTCTAGCTGTTGTCGCTTCTTTACATTTTACTAGCAAGAAGGTATCAGGCAGCAGTTTCAACTCTGTGTGGAAACATCCTTCGGTAGGCAGCTCATTTCACTGAGTATGTGTTCTGCTTTCCTTGTTTACCTCGGTGACAGTGCTGCTAAACTCCCTGCCACTCCATAGCAAGGATCCCCTTCCTCCTATTAATAGTTTCCAGTAGTATCTTCCTCGCTTGCCTTTCAGCTCTCACTCGCAGCCTCCTTGAAGGCCCAAAGGCTTCTGCTCCCAGTTCTGAAAGCTGAGGCAGACCCTGTCGGTCCTCGCTGACTGGAAGCTGTCAGCTAGCGACACTCCCTGCAGCTGATTCTCTCCTGACGGAGCTTTGAGCAAAGCACCTCCATGGCCACCACACAGGACACTCATGCCAAGCCATGCTCCTGCCTCTCCCAGCCTTTCCGGTCTTGTGGCTGGCCACTGCCTGCATCTCACTCTGTTTTTGCTACACAAGACTTGCATTACCTCAGTGTGTCTTCAAATTATACAAAACTGTGACACAGTCCAGGCTGAGTTAGGAGCCTCCGATCATCCTGTCATACTTACAATGCTGTAAGAACTTTCCTAGCACATTAGAAATATCTCTACTACTGTATTTATGGCATTCTGAGGTACCTGGATTGAAATCTGGCGCTGATTAGCTATGTGAGCTTGGTCAAGCTATTTGGCCCCTGTGTGTCTTAGCTTAGTCATCTTAAATTGGTGATAATAACACTATCTTCCTCACAGGATGTTGGGATTGAATGAGATAATACAGGTAAGTGCTGAGAAGAAAACCTTGCTCAGAGTTATGTTCAGTGTATATTAGCTGTGATTGTTGATGATCTGAACTAACAGACAGGATATGTGCATTCAGGTTGCTGGATTGCAGGGCAAAACTGACGTCGAGGTGACTCTACTGACTCCCTCAAAGCACTTCTGTTTTTAGGAAGACAGTAGAGATCTCTGCTTCTCCAAGAGGCTGTGATGAAATTGAAGTTATCAGAATTACCTTTATCAACTTTTTCCTGCTTTCCGTTTTAGGTCTGCAAGACAACCCTTGGTTCTGTGACTGTCACATTTCCAAGATGATCGAGTTGTCAAAGGTTGCTGACCCTGCTGTAGTGCTTCTCGATCCACTGATGGTTTGCAGCGAGCCCGAGCGCCTCGCGGGGGTTTCGTTTCAGCGGGCTGAGCTGGAGCACTGTCTGAAGCCATCAGTGATGGCCTCGGCCACCAAGATCATGTCTGCTCTGGGCAGTAATGTCCTGCTGCGGTGTGATGCCACTGGCTACCCCACCCCGCAGCTCACGTGGACCAGATCCGATGGCTCACCAGCTAATCACACAGGTATTTTCTTCAGTCAGCCCTATGAAACAAGGAGTTTACAAAGGTCTGAACTTAACCCCATGTTTTTGTATGATTTGAAACTGGCCAGTTAATGCTAATAAAACATTACAAGACAGAGACAGGCACCATGGCTCATGCCTGTAATCCTAGCACTTTGGGAGGCCGAGGCAGGAGGATTGCTTGAGATCAGTTCGAGACGAGCCTGAGCAAGAGCAAGACCCCTGTCTCTACAAAAAATAGAAAAATTAGCTGGCACGGTGGCACACACCTGTAGTCCCAGTTACTGGGGAAGCTGAGGCAGGAGGGTCGCTTGAACCCAGGAATTTGAGGTTGCTGTGAGTTAGGCTGATGCCATAGCACTCTAGCCCGGGCAACAGAGTGAGATTCTGTCCTAAAAAAAAAAAAAAATTCCAAGATGGTTGGGTGCAAAGGATTTGAAAGGTACATTTTATTGGTTAATATTTTTCTCAGTTTAGTTTATCTACCTACCTAGCTAAAACTAGACAACCTCAACTCTTTTTCTTAGGTAGAAAACAAAATGATCCGGTGGACGGATAACTGCAGGCAAGGCTTTTGTCTTGCTTCGTCATCTTGGATACAACTCATTTCAAAATGTATAACCATTACAGTTTTTTAGAAAGGGCATCTTGTACAAGTTTCTCATTTTTGAATAACCATTTAAATAATAAATTACATGGAGACCTTATTATAAATCAGAAAGTATAATTTTTGAAAATATTGATTGCATTGACTTTTCAGCTCCTACTATGACAAAGTCCATGCGTTTGCCCCTGTTTCAACAGTGATATTCTGACAATTAAAGGGATATGGTTTTAAGACCCTTCAAAATTAAATTAAAATTGAAGTTGAAATAATGAAACCTGATGGGATTTGTAAAAGTTCAGGCCTAATATTCTTGCATATAGTTTAACGGCCCACAGTTCCAGCTAGTGAGTTGAGTTTGGGGCTGCTGGGATACTGTTATACACATTATTATTCTCTGGAAAGCTCCCGAAATCAAGACAGAATGGAACTATGTGCAGACATTAATAATTAGGAAAGCACAATTCCAATTTTTGTAAAAACTATATATTATTCTGCAAATTAAAAAACCCATGGTTTCCTAGTTTACCTAAGTTAAATATAAAATAAATGATTTAGAATACAAATGATGACTCTTCCATGCCAGAAAATGATCTGTTGTACCACTGGTGATGTGGACAGATGCATTTTATTACAATGAAAAAAATATCTTGAGAAATATTTAAGTCAAGTCTTATGATAAACATTTTACAGAATCACAGTGAGTTAAAATTGGAAGGGACCTTTGAGATTGCTTTGCCTCATCCTCTTATTTTACAAATGCAGAAACAGAGGCCTGAAGACACTAATTGACTTGTCTAAAATCACATGCTACTTAGTGGACAAAAGTTTACTAAGACCCAAGTCTCCTGATTCCCATCTTTAAAAACTACCATTCCCCCTACAGACCTCAAAACACCTGGCAGGCGGGTCTTAGACCTTCATGTAAGCAATTTGCACAACCATCACCTGCCACCAGAGTGCCGTCTCCCACTTCCCCGTGGAAAGGATGCACGTAGAACACAGTTTCCTTCTCGGTCGGCATGCTTGCTTGAGCTTTTCCTTTTTTTCTCACAGCGTACGTTTTTGTTTTCTTCCAGTGATACAGGAATCTCCAGGGGAAGGAGTGAGGTGGTCCATAATAAGCTTGACGGGCATTTCTTACAAAGATGCGGGGGATTACAAATGCAAGGCCAAAAATTTGGCTGGAATGTCAGAAGCTGTGGTTACTGTGACAGTGGTGGGCGTTGTCACAACCAGCATATCAGCAAACACTTCCGAAAGGAGACCTGGAGATCGTCCTGAGCAGGAGGTCCAGCCAGGATCTGGAAGATTGACATCTACACCTCGTTCATTGTCATCTCCCTGGTCCTCCTCCTCCTCTCCTTCCTCCCCCACGTCTTCCACTTCTCTGTCTAATTCTACTTTGTCTCCTTCCGCCACTGCTTCCTTCTCTTTATCTCCTTTCTTCTCCTCCATTGTTTCTTCAACCACGCCTCGAAGCACTAGCATTTCAGCAGGCACCACCGCAGCCAGAAGGCAGTCACTCCAGCTCCATCCAGATGGGAAAAGGAACTTAAAGGTGGAGATGGGTGGCAGTAAGTTTCCCCTCGCCAGCGCAAGTAAGAAAGAAGAGCTGGCCTTGTTGGATCAAGCAACACCTATGGAGACGAATGCCACGATAGAAAACCTCAGGGTGGTCAGTGAGACTAAAGAGAGTGTGACACTGATGTGGAACATCATTAATACCACACATGGCTCCGCAGTGACCGTGCTGTATTCCAAGCATGGTGACAAAGACCTGCTGCTGTTGAATGCAGACTCCAGCAAGAACCAAGTGACCATAGATGGCTTGGAGCCCGGCGGGCAATACGTGGCATGTGTCTGTCCAAAAGGAGTGCCTCCCCAGCAAGAGCAATGTATCACCTTTTCTACCAGGAGACTTGAAGACGATGATTCTCAATGGTCTTTGCTTCTTGTGGTGACCAGTGTTGCCTGTGTTGTTGTCTTGCCAGTGATTTTTTTCTTATTGTACAAAGTTTGCAAACTGCAATGTAAATCAGACTCTTTCTGGGAAGATGATTTGGCAAAAGAGACTTATATACAATTTGAGACCCTGTCTCCCAGATCCCAAAGTATAGGGGAGCTCTGGACACGAAGGCACAGGGACGATTCAGAAAAATTGCTGCTCTGTTCTAAGGCAAGTGCGGAATCTCACGTGACTTTTAAAAGTGAGAGTTCCAGACCAGAGTATTTTTGCTAAGGTTCTGCAGCTCAGACACGTGTGAGCTACAAAATCAGGATCTAAAGGCATAATTGATGCTCTGTTTGGATGATTTTTGGACAGACTTTCACATCTTATGTGAAAATCACAACTGGAATGCTTTTAAGCATGTTTTTTTTAAAAAAATACCATGAGATTTCTGAACTGAAAAACAAATATTTTTGATTTTTGTTGTGTGGAAAATGTCCCCCAAAATCATTTTTAGGGTGGTGCTTAATAAGTTGATTATAATTTTTAGGGAAATATTTTAGTTCTTAAAAATAAGTTCATGTGAGAATAGCAAGTGAACTCTGCATTTTGAAAAGATAGTTTTTTGAGCAGTGAAGAAAAGATTCGAATCACCAGCTAAGCCTTGATGTTCATTCATGTTCAAAGTGCTTTATGGCATTTGCTGTGGATGTTCGCTGGCATTGCCTAGCCGGTGAGGGTGGGATTGTAAAGAATTTTGCATTTACTAAGGTTAAATCCAACCTGGTAGACGGGGAGGGCTCCGTCTCTTGGGGCCATTATGCATTACAACACTGTAGAGTTGTGTTCATATTGCAGGTAAGAAAATCTTCCCTGTGTCCTTAGAAATATAGGTGTTAGCAAAAATAAGTATAAAAAAGGATTATGACAAATAGACCATTTCCAAGAGACTGTAACTGCTGCATTTTAACACATCTGCTGACAGATTGTATCGGTTTTTTAAAAATAATGTGTTAATTTTTAGTACTTTGATATGTGCTCTTTCTTCCTTCCTTCTTCCTTCCCTCCTCGTCTTTCTCCCCCTCACCTTCCTTCATTTTATTTTTTCCTCCTCTGTATCAGAAGATGTACAGGTAGCCAAAGGACCACACACTACGCTGTTTGTCTTTTGCCACGTTACATTGTGATTCTGTGGATAAAGAGAAGGCCTTTGAAAGTGCTGACTGCCCTTTGAAGTCTTTTTTAGGTCCCCAAAGGATATTTGAGGATTTTGAAAGAGAAGCTTCAATGGATTCATTTGGCCAAACTCTTTTTCTAGGTTAAACACATCAGAGAACTTGCACTGGAGTGAGTCACATGAATACATAGGAAAGAAGCTTCATAAATAGAGTTCGGGTTTCTTAGAAAGACTGTCTGCGCAGCTGCAGCCCACTGCTGCGTCTCAGGGCTGGCGTTCCGTGTCGCTGAGCGGCGCGATGCTAAGCGGCCTGGGACTCTGACCCTGGCCCAGGGTGTCCAGGGGACAAGGCGACCTCCGCGCAGATGCAGCTTTCGTGAGCCTTGGAACAAAGCCCAGCTTTGCAAGAATGACTTAAACTCCCTTTATGAAGGAAACGCCTGGGAACTCACCTGGGCTGAATACAGGTATAATAAAGAGGAAGGGTCCCCCAGACTCCGAGCATGGTCCCGATGGACACGCTCCCGGTCAGGCGGTCACCTGCCCCCTGCCCCCCACCTCGTGTCAACAACAGCGGCTGCACGAGTAAACGGCTCTGACGAGGGCGGAGCTGCAGCGGACAGAGCGCACGGAAGCTGCTCCGCAGGCCCAGCCGCGAGCCCGGGGCAGGACAGCAGCCGCGAGGAGGGGACCCGCGTGCGCAGCGACGCGTTTCTGTGCGACAATGAGGAGAGTGGCTGGGACTGGCTCTGATCAAGAACTCGGGTGGCGCCCCGCGGCAGCTCCACAGCGAGCCCGGCGGCTCCGCTTCCGACGTTGCCGCCTTGTCCACGCATAGCGCCCGCGCCGCCCCGCACTGCGCCCCCGCCACCCCGCACTGCGCCCCCGGCACCCCGCACTGCGCCCGCGCCATCCCGCACTGTGTCCGCCTCCTCCCCGCACTGCGCCCCCGCCAACCCGCACTGCTCCCGCCTCCTGCCCCGCACTTCGCCCCCGCCGCCCCGCACCGCGCCCAGCGACACCCCGCACCGCACCCGCGCCTCTGCCGTGGAGGCCACACCGGGGCAAAACCTGCCAAAATTGTTCTCAAGACAGCTCCCGCCCCCAGGAAGGGGTCGGGCTCCTAGGAGGAGGGGGGCACCGCACAGCGTGGGGGTGAGGACACCCCCGCCGCCAGCTGCCCGCCCAGCCGACTGGAAGGGAAGCAAGCTCCTCCTCCCAAGGGGTCCCAGCATCGGGACGCCAGGGACCAGAATGGCTCGTCTGTTGTCTGCCAGTGGAGGAATGAGAAGGGTGTCCTCTGATAGTCCCCTAGACTGATTCCACCAGCGAATGACCAAATCACCCGAAGCACGGCTGCCATCCGAGTTCCTCTGAGCCCGGCAAGGAGACGGCGCTGCTTCGGAGGGTGCCCTGCGCCTGGCCCACCGGAGGGCCCGGATTGCCACCAGCTGCGACAACGGCATCGCCAGCAACCTCCCAGCGCAGTTAAGAAAGCGTCAGGCACCTCCACGACCAGCGTGGCTGAGGACAAAGGCACCCCAGACACCATGGAAGTCCTCAAGGAGGTTCCTGGTGCCCCTTGTCTGCGGGCCACACATTCCAAAACCCCCAGGGGATGCCTAAAACCGCGGATGGTACTGAACCCTGGATAGACTGTGCACACATTTCTTTTTCCTTTTCACAGTGCTTAGAATGAGATTTGGGAGCAAAGGGATAATTTAAAGACAGAATTTATATAATTAAAAAGGAAGCAAAACATTAAAATTTGGAAACTTTGCAAACAAGTAAGGAAGAAGTGTGTTAGGGTGTGGCCAAGCGAACACTTGCTAAGGAGATTAGGGAAGGAAGAGAGCCCGTGGGGCAGTGGGAAAGGCCGGAAGGCATTCAGGGATCTGACTGCCGCCCCTCCCCCCACAGGTCCAGAGACCCAGGAGAGCAGACCGCTTTTGAGGGTCAGGCCTGGGGCTTCCTTCACAGGCTATCTGCCCGGGGCTGCTTGGAGACTCTGCTCCCTGCATCCTGGCGCTGTGCTCATTGGCCACCCAGCTGTGGCTCAAATGGCCCCAGGTGTGGCTTGACCCAAAACTCTGGAAGATGCAGGGCGTAAACCTTGTCAGCATCCAAATGGTGCTAATTCTGCGAGAGTGCAGAGGCTGGAGCTAAGAAGCTTGGTAGCCTTCACCTGCGTTTCAAGGGATGTGTTGAACAGCCTGGGGGCCTTGGAGACTTGTTGCAGGGGCAGGGCCACTGCAGAGACCGCCTACTGAGCAATGCCTGGTGGGCTGCAGAGGTGAGACAGCCTTTAAGACCCAGAGCTGTAGAGCTACCAGCGTGCCATGCCAGCCTGGGAGAGCTGCAGGCATGAGACTCCAATCCCTTTAGTCTTTAGAAGACTAAAGTGTGGGCTTGTAGCCTTACCAAGTTCCTTGCCCGCTGCTCAAGAGGAAGGTAGAACGGGTTACAGCAGAGAAAGAGTTTAATATCGCAGGCGCCATGTGAGGAGTTGGGGGAGTTCTCAAATCCATCTCCCCAGAAATTTGGGAGAAAGGATTTTTAAAGTTAGTTTAGTGGGCAAAGGGCTAGGCAATTGGGTCTGATGATTGGCTGAGTTCTGGGAGGAATCGTAGGGGTGTAGAAATGGTTTTCGTTGCTGACTCAGGTGGGGGTTGCAAGACAAATGAGTCCGATCCTTGGTCTGGGCCACTGGTCTGGGTGGGTCAGCTGGTCAACCAGAGTGCAGGGCAGAAGATATCTCAAAGACTAGCCTTGAGTTTCACAAGGATGATGTTATCTGTGGGGGCAATGAAGAAAGCTGAGAATCTTTTTGCCCATCAGCTGTGTGATTCCTGCGCAGTGAGCAATTGTAAGGAAGCAGGTGAGGGAACAATGGCTGGTTATATATGCATTTCTCTACCACAGTTCCCATCTGGTGGCCCTTTATTAATTTTATAAAAGGCGGGTTCCGACTAAGCCAGGAAAGCCACAGGGGTAGGGCTGTCCAAGGCTTTTGGGGGCCCACCCCCACACCAGGGTGCAAAAGATGTCGAGGAGCAAAGGAAATTATTCTCCAGCCTTAAGATTTAATATCTGCCCTACTGGGTTTCAGACTTGCTTTGGGCTGGTTACTTCGTTCTTTTTGCCTACCTCTCCCTTTTGAAATGGGAATGTGTACTCCGTGCCTGTCCCACCACTGAATCTTGAGTAGATGACTTGTTTTGATTTCACAGGCTCTCAGATGAGACTTTGGACTTGGGATTTTTCAGTTGGTGCTGGAACAAGTTAAGACTTTTGGGAAACGGAATGACTGTGTTTTACATTGTAAGAAGGGCATGAGTTTTGGGGGGCCAGGGGTGGAATGCTATAGTTTCTATATATTTCTTCCCCTCTGAAACTCATGTTGAAATTTGATTGCCATGGTGACCATGTTGGGAAGTGGGGCCTCATGGGAGGTTTTTCAGTCTTGGGGGTGGATCCGTCAGGAATAGATTAATGCTGTTTTGTAGGAGTAAATGCTCAATCTCAAGGGACTGGGGACTGAATTTGCTACTGTGAGAGTTGTTTGTTGCAAGTGAGTTTTCTCCTTGTGTTTGCTTTCTTGTGCACTGTGTCTACAGCCAGCAGCTCTTGGAAACACTTAGAGCAGGTGTCCTCAAACTATGGCCCGAGGGCCACATGTAGCCCGAAGACATTTATCCGGCCTGCCTGTCCTGCTTAGCAGCCGACTCATCCCAGGCCCACAGTGCGCATTCTCCAACAGTCTAAGGGACAGTGAACTGGCCCCTGATAGAGCCTCACTTGTGCTTGGCAGCCATGCGTGATGGACAAGACCTGAAACTTCAGCTTGATTGGGTCACCTCTAAGAACAAACTTTTGTGTCTACAGCATCACCTCCAGTGCACAGAGTGTCTCCAGACCTCACTGCTTAGTTCCGAGTCCTCCTGCCCCACTGCCATCTGCCCCTGCTCCATCCAACAACTCCAAGCCAGCTACCACCAGCTTCATTCAACTCCATCTGCATCCCCTGAAACCATCTTCCCAGCAGCGTGCCCACTGCATTTCATCAATCCAGGTGGCTGATGTTCCACATTCAACTGTCGCTCCTCCAGACCTGGTCACTGATGACCTGGCACCGAGGTCACTGACAGTCTCCACTACAGCGTCATTTTGGCCACCCACTGGGCTCCCAAATCTCCTGGCTTGCTGGCATGCCTTTGCCAGTTGTCCATTCCTTACATCAAGCCCTGGGAACTGCCTGTCAACTGCTCTTCCCTTGCCATTGGTGAGATGTCTGAGGTCACAGCTGAACCCTGCTCTCATTATCCCCCCAATTGCCCGGCTGGACACTGGACTTACTATTACTCTCTCTATACCCTCTCTGCTGATGCGGTTTGGTTCACTCCAGATTATTCCAAGGATGCCACTAATTCCCACCCCTTCCACAGGATATGCTCATGCTGATTGGGGCACCTGGACTGGCTGGCTGGGCACGACTCATCTGACTGTCCCTGAGGGAGGGTGATCCTGTTCTGGTGACTCTCATTTACCTCCATCTGCAGTCTCACCCCTCTCCTTGGATTTCCTGTACATGGTATGGCTGGAAATTTCACTAGTGTTCTGGGCCCCCACCCCACTGTCCCTCCTCTTGATGCTACAAGTACGCAGTGGGGCGGTTGTGGCAGCCAGCTTACTAAAGATTATATTCTCTTTATAGTGAAGGTTTAGGAGTATAGAATAGATTTCTAAAGCTGTGTCAAGAGTCCTGAAATATTCTGAGATGCAAGTTCTAAGAAAATGCAATATTTTGTGTAAGAGAGAGATTGACTTTAATGTACTACATTCTACAAATGATAATACAACCAGCTGGAGAATGAAAAATTATTCATTCTAAATGGCTCTTAATTAAAAAGAAAAGAAATTTTAGGTTAGGCATACTCTGCATATTAGAAGACCAGTGTGGATGGATAGCTTGACCAGAATTCCCAGATTTCCCCTTCTTATATAATTGCCTTTCCTTTTCTTTCCTTTCCTTTCCTGCCTGGCTGTCCTTGGTGCTTCATCACTGAGTGCATTGTCTAGTGATCTAACAATTTTTACTTTAGAGTTCATTGTTAGAGGGGTTTTTTTTAGATTTTTTAAAAAAAATCTTGTGGACAATTTTGTGTTTAGCTTCAGTTTATGTCAGATCAATTTATTTTACATTAAAAGTTTATAAAACTTTGCTACAGATGTCAAAAATTTCATTGCCATGAATTTTTAAAGTCTAATATAAACAGAGTACTAAAATACTACTGTATTATTATTTATAATAGACAAGCCAAATGGCGTGTATAGAGGGGTGCTCAAATTGTACCACGGCAGGTATTTGTCAAGACGGATACTTGGACCATCCTGATGAGATAAGTTACTCATTGTCCTTACAATCAACATCGAGTGAAAGTGGACTTAATTTTGACAAGGAAAAGCCAGTTGGTGGTATGGAGGGGCAGGAACCTCAGCAGAAAGCACCTGTTCTGTCCCTTAGCTTGGTCTCGGCACAT